CTCCACTTCTAACATTTCTTTTCGCTCTTTTGAGGACTTCTGACTCCTCGTTTCAACCATTCTGCCTGAAACCGTCTCCCCTTTGTCGGTCTGGGCTCGTTTGATCCGATCCACAAAAGGGTCGGTCATTGTTTTTCTTTGCTTTCTAGGTATGAATTTCTTAGAGCTATTACCTCGTTTAGGTATTCTTGACTTGTCTAGACTCATTCTCAATTTGTCCCCTCTTAATGCCTATACACTCAATTCGATTGCTAGTGACCTTATAATTTGACTATCAATAATAATGACACAACACAATAAATTTCACAAGATTCTATTAAATATTGACCACGAATCCCTGTATGTTACCAGTGTACAGCTCGTATATAATTTATTCACACTAACCGATTATCGGTCGTAAGATTTGAGTACTAGCACAATATGATGATATCAGTCAATTTAAAAGATAGTGTACTCACTATCCAATCAAGCACAAATTACGTTCGATTTTAAAATCAAAAACAACAAAAAATATAATGACAGAATATGAATACCTCTATAAAAAAAAAATTATGTGTATTGTACTTTTAGTTGGTCGCAGTACAATAGTCGAACTTGTCTTTTAAAGAAAAAGCTTTCCCTGCTTGGTGCTGCACCAAACAGACAAAACTTTGAAGGCAGTAATTTTCTCAAGTGGGGGTCTATTGCACCCACCGAGTACTGTGTTACCTATCTGCCTCCGGACTGCCCGAGCTAGACCTATTAAAATCCTCAGGGTAGTCACTCCTCACAAAAACGTTTTGGGTTTCAATCCACACCAATGAATTACGCTCTTTTTGGTTTAGACTTAGTGTCGCGAATATCCGAGTTCGAACCTGTTTTGTTTTGGTCTGGTTTTTATTGAAAGGCAAGTTACCGGTGCAGTCACTGATTCCTAGCCTGCCTGCTAATAACCTAATACCTCTCACTGTAGTCTTTCTTCTGTTTACCTAAGTCTTTTAATAAATAATACCCCTCCGGATTGGCAAAATAGGACCCTTCCGGATTGGCATATTTGAGACCCCTCCGGATTGGGACCCCTCTGACTTAGCAAATATAAGACCCCTACGGATTGGGACCCCTCCGGTATTGTGAAAACAAGACCCCTCCGGATTGGGACCCCTCCGGATTTGAAAAAAAATTTGGACCCCTCCGGATTGGGAGCCCTCTGGTTTTCTTAAAAGTAGCTTTTCGGAGATTTCCTTTATTTTCAACCTATGCCCCTCCGGATACGTTCTCCGATGCTATTATGCTTATTAAATTAACTAGGAAAGGTATGTAATGCTTTCCTAGACCCTTCCGGATTGAACTTAAGCCTCTTATTTGACAGTTCACGCTAACGGTGAAGGGTCTGTCGCTAGCCTAACTCCGGCTCGTTTCAGGTTTTCTTGTGCTTTTAGCCTTCCTTTTTCGTCTAGAACAGCCTAAAGTTACTTTATTCAACAGCTATTATTTTTTGGTAGGGGTGTTAGGGCTTTCCTAAAAAAAATTTATAAAACGTGAAAGGTCTACCCTCCCAAATTGGTGAATATGCTAAAAACAATCTCAAGAAGTTTTCACGCCTACTTTTTCGAAAAACTTTTGTCCCCACTAGTAAGCTCAGCTAATTTCTGATCTAATGGTATCAAGATCAACTGGATCCGTCAAGTCGTTCAAAAGTTATTAGCTAAAACGTCTTTCTTCCAAACTCAAAAATCTTCTCTCTTATAGGTTCCGCCTAACTTTTTTCGCAATTCCGTTCTTTTCGACCGAAAAATTATTGATCCGAGCTCAAAAGGCCTATATTTTTCTAGTTCAATGCAAAAAACCCGATCTAAAACACTTTAATTGAGAAAATTTGCAAAAAACTATGCTATTTGGACCCCTCCGGATTGATGAATCCACTGAATCAAACACGTTAAGCTTGATTTCTCTGTAACCCGGAACGTTTTCGAGAAGCGGATTTTAAAACCTGTAGATTCACTAGTAGACGTTGTCCGAACAACTATTTTTACTGTTCTAACTCAACAATTTCAAAAAAATTTCTGATTTTATAGTGTTTTGTACTATCAAAAATCGTGAAAATTCGGTTTTCGGTACCAAAATAATTCCAACCACTTCCGAACTAAACTTAACCGGTTCTACCTATTATAGTAGTGCAATTACGATGTAATACACTAATTTGGTGCTTTTTCCGTTTCAAAAAATATCGATATATCAAAAATCGCGATTTGTGGGGGGATCAAAATATTGCTATTTTGACCCTAAAAACCGGTCTGTTTTCTTTGTTTTTCACTGAAAAACGTTATAGGAGTTTTATTATAGGCTATATAAGTAATAATATTGGTAATACTATACCCCTCTGGGTTTGTTTGATATCCGAATTAAGGTGCTTAACTCGGATATTCGCAGTTCGGTGATGGGTCACTACAGTGCAGCACTGTCGAGCACCCCACAGATTCCTATCTTACTTTTTGTACCAAAAGGGATACAAAACTTGTTAACGATACCCAACAGTCGATTGATGTTGTCGTTGAGCCCCTTCTTGTTGCTCCTTGTACTGCTTGCCGGATCAGTCTTCTCCCAAGACCCTTCCGAATTGAGCGCAAATCAACTGACTCTTCCGGATTGAGCGCAATTTATCATTAACGTGCTTAAACAGTCGATTGATGTTGTCGTTGAGCCCCTTCTTGTTGCTCCTTGTACTGCTTGCCGGATCAGTCTTCTCCCAAGACCCTTCCGAATTGAGCGCAAATCAACTGACTCTTCCGGATTGAGCGCAATTTATCATTAACGTGCTTAAACAGTCGATTGATGTTGTCGTTGAGCCCCTTCTTGTTGCTCCTTGTACTGCTTGCCGGATCAGTCTTCTCCCAAGACCCTTCCGAATTGAGCGCGAATCAACTGACTCTTCCGGATTGAGCGCAATTTATCATTAACGTGCTTAAATGCTCAAATAACCCTACAGTACAAGCCTCACAAATGGGCTACGAAATTGATCGTAACGACCCTGACTGATATAAATGCCTGTAACAACAATATATCTATCAACAACAAACGGGGGGTCGGATCACATCTTGTCTGGGGGTATGATTTCTATCTACTGATTTTATATTTTTTTAATACTGTTCTTGGTTTTTTCGGTTATTTTTTTTATGTTTTTTGTTTGTCTTGGGTACTATACTACTTTTTGTTTGGTTTTATATATATCTTTAAGTATTTTTGATCACGGACCACTCAGGAGATGACGGGATTGCGAATCCCCCCACCCTTCCTGGTTCGTGAATTTTCGGTCTTAACTAGGTTAAAAAGCTATTCACGGTAATCCGGAAGGCTTCCACGTTTCGAACTACCCTTCCGCCCCGGCGGTTTCGGCCTATTAAGGGCGTTAATGTGAGCATCCGCTCGGCGCGGAGTGCTCGTTAACGGTTCTGCCGGTCATGATGTTAAAAAAGAATAACACCCAGGAGCGCCATAAAAACATCTATGTAACATTCGCCCGGAAGATACATATCGACGGAAAACAAAGCTAGGTCCTAAGACGACTGGCTAACGTCTAAACAGAGCTCTACATGCTTTTCACCGTCTCTACCAAGCCAGTACTTCCGGTGGTCTTTGTTGTTGTTGTTGTTGTTGTTGTTGTTGTTGTAGTGGATTTACAGCACAAGGCTGATGGGTGTTGCTCCCTTTCCGTTTTTGTTAGAAGATTGTCCACTTATTTCTGCATTGGTTGCAATCGCACGCAAGTTGCCAAGTGCAAATATTGTTTTCGTTGTACTTTTCATCCATGAAATTCCACATCAGTTGTAGGATTCGGTTCTTGAGTCCAGTTTTGTTTGTGAAATCATCGTGTTTGTCAATTCTGTTTGCAATTCGACTGGTACGTTTTGTGAATTCCCCTCGCGCATTCTCTGTTCTAATTTTGGCACTCTTGAAGACGTCCTTAGTTCTGAGATTTGTCTGCGGGCACTGTGATAGATGTGGAAACACATCAGTTCGTCCATCAAGGCTAGAGAGTAGCAGTAGGTCCGTGAGTTGTAAGTACATTGGTAGTGGGAGCACATTTAGTGCTCGCACCTGGTTAACATAGTATGTATCCGGGCTTGTTACTGTCCATTTTGTGACTTTCTTTTGGAAGCGCTCCAGGCGTACAAGATCTCCTCGGCTAAGATTTGTACATGAAAGTCCATATATCAGAATTGGAATAAGAAGAGACTTATATAGGCCTAATTTGACTAAAGGTAAGGTTTTATAAGCAATATTACGTCTAATCAAGTAACATGATTTATTAGCTTTGGTCAGTCTCATATCAATATGTTTATTGCAGGATAATTTACAGTCCACTATAAGTCCAAGATCTTTCGCTTCTGTAGAGGATTCAAGTTTTGATCCGGAAAGCTGCAGATCGTGTGCTCTGCCTCTGAACACCAGTTGTGAGCATTTATCGAGAGCCAGCGCCATCTTGTTCTCCTTGACCCAGTCATCAATGGACTTCAAGTCCTGTTGCACTTTGATTAGGTCTGTGTTGACTGTCAGAAGTTTCAGATCGTCAGCGTATATGTACGGGTCAGAGAATTTCAGTCGGTCCGGGAGGTCATTGATGAAAATGCAGAACAGAAGTGGGCCCAGGAGGGATCCCTGTGGGACACCACTCGTCACATCAAGAGTCACTGAAGAAGTTTTCTCAACTTTTACATATTGTTTTCGTCCATTTAGATACTCACAAAGAATTTCCAGCAGGCATCCTTCTACACCAATATTTGCGGTCTTTTTCAGCAAGTCAAGATGCGGCACCTTGTCAAAAGCTTTTGAGAAGTCCATATAATAAGCGACAACGTCATCTGTTGGGTTTTCGTCTAGTGCTCTGTAAATTTTACTCAGGAATGATAGCATTTTCGTGGCCACTGATTTCCCTTTGACAAAACCATGTTGATGTTTTGAAAGGACACGTTCAAAAAGCGAGTAGAGAGGTCCGTAGATGCATTTCTCTAAGATTTTGCTGTCTATGTTGAGTAATGAATTGGACGCCAATTTTCCACATTACGTCTGTCTCCTTTTTTGAATATTGGGGAGATCGCTGCCGTCTTCCAGCAACTAGGTATTTTTCTCAATCTCTTGATGTTCTTGAAAATTACCGGCAAGGCATTTGCCATGTTGGTGGCTGTTTGTTGGAAGAAAATTGGAGGCAGGCCGTTGGGTCCTCTAGACTTGGTAACGTCAATGTTCATCAAGGTTTCTGTTATAGTTGAATGAGATATGCTGAAATTTGTGATCTGTGGATTGTCACATTCAACGTCTTTAATGTTAAACTTTATTTTTTGCGAGAATACTGAGTGAAAAAAGTCGTTGAGCAGATTCACCTTTTCTTCCAGGCTGGAAACAGTGGTGTTATTGCTTATCATTATTTTTGGCAGTGATGCAGATTTGTTGAGACTTTTCAGGTGCTTGTAAATGATATCTGTGTTTCTTGTACTCAGAAGTTTGTTCTGATAGTTTAATCGATCATTTTCACTGGACTGGATTACTACATTTTCCATTAGTGCAACTTGACGTTTGCGGTGGCTTGTTGGTTTCGAAATGAGTAGTTTTTTTTGGGTGTTAAGCTTTTTCATGAGGTTTGATGTGCTTTGGATTATCCATGATGGTAACTGCTGTCGATGCGCAGTTCTTCGAGGCACATAGATTTCTAACAAATTTTCAAAGTAATCATATAGCTCTTGGCAGGTTTTATCTATATTTGTGTAGCATATTGGATTGAAAATTTTATCAGCCATAGCGTTGTTTATACCTTCGAAGTCAACTTTACCAAAGCTTCTATATTTGTCAATGACCGGTTTGGCTTCTTGGTGTTCTATTTCGACGTTGAGGTTTATTGATTGATGATCTGAACAGTCATATTGTTTATCGAAGAATTCATCCCTTTGAGCATGTACGAGACAATTTCTATGGAAGGCTACATCCAACAAGTTTTTTCCGCATGTAGAGAAGTTAACTGTTTGTCTGAAGAGTTTTGCGTCAAAGGCATCAACTACCTCCTGTTCCTCTTCACTGGCACTTGTTAGGGACGGCCAATTTGTTTCTGGGAAGTTGATGTCACCACAAACGATAAGGGATGACGAGGTTGGAAAGGCATTCAATATTTTGTTAAAATCTTCATACAAGTACCTGTAGGGACTTGATTTAGGGGGGTTATAAAAGACACAGAATATCAACTCCTGGCCGGATATATCAATTTTGCATGAAACACAGCTGTCAGGCAGATCTACAGTAAGTTTTTCACATGCGAATGTATTCTTTACAGCAATGAGACTGCCGCCGTGTTTGTTTGTATCATTCACTCTTTCTCTGTCTGATCTATAGATATTGTAATCATGTAGCATTAATTCAGAGGATTCTATTTGATTATTTAGCCGGTTTCACAAATGCAGATTATACTGTAATTACCAGATGTAACAGCAGTAGAGAGTTTGGCTCGACGTTCAAGTTTATGAGACTTCTGGCATTTATTTGAAGTACGCTTAGAAAGGCCCCTAGTCACGGGCCGCTTTCATTGAGCTCTACTTTTACGTTGTCATTGAACAACTCCAAGTTTCTTATCCGTAACTTCTCTTTTGGAACGCCTTCAGTTATATGTTCACGTCGCTTTTTGAGGATTTGATTTTCTTTAGCTGCGTCCTCCTTGGTCAAGGCAGGTGAGAGAAAGACTTTCCTTTCAGACAATTGGGTCCTTTTTTCTAAACTTTTCGCCAGAACTAATCTTGCCTCATGATGGTTGGCCACGGTCAACAGAAGGGTTCTGGGTTTCGTTCGCTTTTCATCGAACTTTCCCAGGCGTTTCATTTCAACGATGTTTGGTTGTACATCAACAATCTCTAGAATCTTCTTGACTTCCTCGTTTGTTGGGACAAGGTTCTCAGCTTTCGATTTCTGGGGATCTTCGGCAATCCCCTGTATTCGGATGCATTGATTGATGTTGTGATTTGTTCGATTTTGCTGTTCTTTTGGTACGGCATTCTTGTTGTTTCCTGACAGAACAGTACTATATGTCTTTTCCACTTTCTCACAGGTGTTCCTCAGTGCTTCGTCAACTTTCTTCTCAACGATTTGAGTTAATCTGTTTTCCATGTTTAGAAGTTTTTCATTTATGTCTAATTCTTCCAGCTTTTCGGTCAGTTTGCTTTGTGTGAAGTTCCGAATGAACCGATCACGTACATTGTTTTCATGGCATGACGAACATAGCAGCATTGCCAGCGTTCCTAAATCTTTAATACCATTCACTGTAACTGGTGTTAAGCCTGTGCAGCTAGTGGTCAGATGAAGGCTAGCGCTACAAGCTACGCATTGATAAACAAGATCGTTCGGACCAATTTTCTGCTTACATGACTTACAGTTTTTAGTCATGGTATTCCTTACCTGGACTCTGAGTCAGAGACTCGAGGAGTACACAAAATTTGGAAGTATTAAGAGTTGCCTTGGACTCTGAGTCAGGGACTCGAGGAGTACACAAGTTATGATTTTGGACTTAAGATTTATGGACTAGGGTTTCCCTTGGACTCTGAGTCAGAGGACTCAAGGAGTACACAAGATTTGGAAAGATGGACTTACAGTTATGGACTTAATATTTCCCTTGGTATCTGAGTCAGGGACTCGAGGAGAACACAAGGTTTGAAAAGACTGACTTTTAAAACAGGGGTACTGACCTATTGCTCGTTTTGTTTTGCTCGCCTTTTGCTCTTTGAAGGTTTCGGTTGTTTCGATCTCTGCCGTAGGATGAGATTGAGTCTTGGGTAATAGTGAAGAACTACAGCTAAAGACCGGAGTTCTTGATCGTGCGATTGATGTAGCTTCTTGTACTTCGCTTTTATGGTGTTGTTTATTTGCTCTGTCTTTGTGAGAATATGTTTCGTTACGTCAATGACTGTGATGTTCAGTTCTAGCAGATGCTCGAATATATTTGTTGCTCCCCACCTATGGCAGTAGATGATAGCGTACAAATTGGGAATTGATCTCAGAACAGAGATGAGTTCTGCCGGTGAGAGTGGTTCCCCGTCGTTGTTCTTATGATCGGTGATCGAGTTGTTAATTAGATCGTGCCACAGGACAATGTTCTTGTTGCAGTTTCGTGGGAGATTGATGAAGTTGATCGCCTTTTTGTCGTAGAAGATGTTGCGGAAATTGAGACTGAGTCCAGAGTACGCGTAGACCTCTTTCCTCACTTCTCTATTTTCGTCTTCGTCCAAAGAAACAATTGCTTGGGCTAGGGAGCTGGCTCCAACAATTTGCAACATCAGGTGATGATAATATTTGAGACAAGAGGCAACCGTGTGCTCTGCCTCTGAGATCGTGTGCTCTGCCTCTGAACACCAGTTGTGAGCATTTATCGAGGGCCAGCGCCATCTTGTTCTCCTTGACCCAGTCATCAATGGACTTCAAGTCCTGTTGCACTTTGATTAGGTCTGTGTTGACTGTCAGAAGTTTCAGATCGTCAGCGTATATGTACGGGTCAGAGAATTTCAGTCGGTCCGGGAGGTCATTGATGAAAATGCAGAACAGAAGTGGGCCCAGGAGGCATCCCTGTGGGACACCACTCGTCACATCTAGAGTCACTGAAGAAGTTTTCTCAATTTTTACATGTTGTTTTTGTCCCTTTAGATAATCACAAAGAATTTCCAGCAGGCATCCTCCTACACCAATATTTGCGGTCTTTTTCAGCAATTCAAGATGCGGCACCTTGTCAAAAGCTTTTGAGAAGTCCATATAATAAGCGACAACGTCATCTGTTGGGTTTTTGTCTAGTGCTCTGTAAATTTTACTCAGGAATGATAGCATATTCGTGGCCACTGATTTCCCTTTGACAAAACCATGTTGATGTTTTGAAAGGACTCGTTCAAAAAGCAATTAGAGAGGGCCGTAGATGCATTTCTCTAAGATTTTGCTGTCTATGTTGAGTAGTGAAATTGGACGCCAATTTTCCACATTACGTCTGTCTCCTTTTTTGAATATTGGGGAGATCGCTGCCGTCTTCCAGCAACTAGGTATTTTTCTCAATCTCTTGATGTTCTTGAAAATTACCTGCAAGGCATTTGCCATGTTGGTGGCTGTTTGTTGAAGAAAATTGGAGGCAGGCCGTTGGGTCCTCTAGACTTGGTAACGTCAATGGTCATCAAGATTTCTGTTATAGTTGTATGAGATATGCTGAAATTTGTGATCTGTGGATTGTCACATTCAACGTCTTTAATGTTAAACTTTATTTTTTGCGAGAATACTGAGTGAAAAAAGTCGTTGAGCAGATTCACCTTTTCTTCCATGCTGGAAACAGTGGTGTTATTGCTTATCATTATTTTTGGCAGTGATGCAGATTTGTTGAGACTTTTCAGGTGCTTGTAAATGATATCTGTGTTTCTTGTACTCAGAAGTTTGTTCTGATAGTTTAATCGATCATTTTCACTGGACTGGATTACTACATTTTCCATTAGTGCAACTTGACGTTTGCGGTAGCTTGTTGGTTTCGAAATGAGTAGTTTTTTTTGGGTGTTAAGCTTTTTCATGAGGTTTGATGTGCTTTGGATTATCCATGATGGTAACTGCTGTCGATGCGCAGTTCTTCGAGGCACATAGATTTCTAACAAATTTTCAAAGTAATCATATAGCTCTTGGCAGGTTTTATCTATAATTGTGTAGCATATTGGATTGAAAATTTTATCAGCCATAGCGTTGTTTATACCTTCGAAGTCAACTTTACCAAAGCTTCTATATTTGTCAATGACCGGTTTGGCTTCTTGGTGTTCTATTTCGACGTTGAGGTTTATTGATTGATGATCTGAACAGTCATATTGTTTATCGAAGAATTCATCCCTTTGAGCATGTACGAGACAATTTCTATGGAAGGCTACATCCAACAAGTTTTTTCCGCATGTAGAGAAGTTAACTGTTTGTCTGAAGAGTTTTGCGTCAAAGGCATCAACTACCTCCTGTTCCTCTTCACTGGCACTTGTTAGGGACGGCCAATTTGTTTCTGGGAAGTTGATGTCACCACAAACGATAAGGGATGACGAGGTTGGAAAGGCATTCAATATTTTGTTAAAATCTTCAGACAAGTACCTGTAGGGACTTGATTTAGGGGGGTTATAAAAGACACAGAATATCAACTCCTGGCCGGATATATCAATTTTGCATGAAACACAGCTGTCAGGCAGATCTACAGTAAGTTTTTTACATGCGAATATATTCTTTACAGCAATGAGACTGCCGCCGTGTTTGTTTGTATCATTCACTCTTTCTCTGTCTGATCTATAGATATTGTAATCATGTAGCATTAATTCAGAGGATTCTATTTGATTACTTAGCCAGGTTTCACAAATGCAGATTATCCTGTAATTACCAGATGTAACAGCAGTAGAGAGTTTGGCTCGACGTTCAAGTTTATGAGACTTCTGGCATTTATTTGAAGTACGCTTAGAAAGGCCCCTAGTCACGGGCCGCTTTCATTGAGCTCTACTTTTACGTTGTCATTGAACAACTCCAAGTTTCTTATCCGTAACTTCTCTTTTGGAACGCCTTCAGTTATAAGTTCACGTCGCTTTTTGAGGATTTGATTTTCTTTAGCTGCGTCCTCCTTGGTCAAGGCAGGTGAGAGAAAGACTTTCCTTTCAGACAATTGGGTCCTTTTTTCTAAACTTTTCGCCAGAACTAATCTTGCCTCATGATGGTTGGCCACGGTCAACAGAAGGGTTCTGGGTTTCGTTCGCTTTTCATCGAACTTTCCCAGGCGTTTCATTTCAACGATGTTTGGTTGTACATCAACAATCTCTAGAATCTTCTTGACTTCCTCGTTTGTTGGGACAAGGTTCTCAGCTTTCGATTTCTGGGGATCTTCGGCAATCCCCTGTATTCGGATGCATTGATTGATGTTGTGATTTGTTCGATTTTGCTGTTCTTTTGGTACGGCATTCTTGTTGTTTCCTGACAGAACAGTACTATATGTCTTTTCCACTTTCTCACAGGTGTTCCTCAGTGCTTCGTCAACTTTCTTCTCAACGATTTGAGTTAATCTGTTTTCCATGTTTAGAAGTTTTTCATTTATGTCTAATTCTTCCAGCTTTTCGGTCAGTTTGCTTTGTGTGAAGTTCCGAATGAACCGATCACGTACATTGTTTTCATGGCATGACGAACATAGCAGCATTGCCAGCGTTCCTAAATCTTTAATACCATTCACTGTAACTGGTGTTAAGCCTGTGCAGCTAGTGGTCAGATGAAGGCTAGCGCTACAAGCTACGCATTGATAAACAAGATCGTTCGGACCAATTTTCTGCTTACATGACTTACAGTTTTTAGTCATGGTATTCCTTACCTGGACTCTGAGTCAGAGACTCGAGGAGTACACAAAATTTGGAAGTATTAAGAGTTGCCTTGGACTCTGAGTCAGGGACTCGAGGAGTACACAAGTTATGATTTTGGACTTAAGATTTATGGACTAGGGTTTCCCTTGGACTCTGAGTCAGAGGACTCAAGGAGTACACAAGATTTGGAAAGATGGACTTACAGTTATGGACTTAATATTTCCCTTGGACTCTGAGTCAGGGACTCGAGGAGAACACAAGGTTTGAAAAGACTGACTTTTAAAACAGGGGTACTGACCTATTGCTCGTTTTGTTTTGCTCGCCTTTTGCTCTTTGAAGGTTTCGGTTGTTTCGATCTCTGCCGTAGGATGAGATTGAGTCTTGGGTAATAGTGAAGAACTACAGCTAAAGACCGGAGTTCTTGATCGTGCGATTGATGTAGCTTCTTGTACTTCGCTTTTATGGTGTTGTTTATTTGCTCTGTCTTTGTGAGAATATGTTTCGTTACGTCAATGACTGTGATGTTCAGTTCTAGCAGATGCTCAAAATATTTGTTGCTCCCCACCTATGGCAGTAGATGATAGCGTACAAATTGGGAATTGATCTCAGAACAGAGATGAGTTCTGCCGGTTAGAGTGGTTCCCCGTCGTTGTTCTTATGATCGGTGATCGAGTTGTTAATTAGATCGTGCCACAGGACAATGTTCTTGTTGCAGTTTCGTGGGAGATTGATGAAGTTGATCGCCTTTTTGTCGTAGAAGATGTTGCGGAAATTGAGACTGAGTCCAGAGTACGCGTAGACCTCTTTCCTCACTTCTCTATTTTCGTCTTCGTCCAAAGAATCAATTGCTTGGGCTAAGGATCTGGCTCCAACAATTAGCAACATCAGGTGATGATAATATTTGAGACAAGAGGCAACCACGGCTACCTCGAAATCAATACTTATCTGAAACTATTTCTCTGCTATTCCTGCAATCTGTTGTTTTTTCTCAATCACAATTTCCGTTGTTATCGCAACTAATGTTGTTGTGTTTTTCTTCGGTTTTCTAACAAAATGGCCATTTCTGACGTTTATCAGAAATGTGACGTCATACTTCGAATTTTTAAAATTTCAAAATACCAGAATATCTTGACCTTCACCGTTTGACTAATCGTCCCAATGACGTTGTTAATCGCTTAAAACCGTCAATTCGGAAGGTTCGCTGCTTAAATTCCGAATCTGCTGAATTTGCATTTTGGCGCATTCGGGTCGAATGTCACATGTGTGAGCATCCGTTCAGCCCTATCTACCTTGTGCACTGACAGCCTAAACTTTTGGCCTCGTTTCACTATTCAGCCATTTTTAATACGTTAAAGTTAAATTGACGGTTAATATATCAGTTCCTTTTTAATGTTAATGGTTATGTAAGCGTGGATGTAAAAAAACTCAAAGCATGATCAGCCTCCGATTAAATAGAGAGACAGATGACAGCTTTACACTGTCAGACGAGGTTCGTACAATAGTTTATCAGAATTTTAATTGTCAAACTCATTTGATATTAATTGTTTTTTCGTTACAGCCTGAAATTGTCCAAGCTTGCTTTTTGGGAGAAACTGATAAGATCCGATCCATTTTGTTCAAGCAAAAAGATGACATAAATGTTTTAGTAAGTATTTTAATCGATTGTAACTAACATTGTTTTTTTTAAAACTTTTGTTTATGCATAGCAAGCTCATTTGAATTCAGGATAGTAAAAAGCGATCTCCACTGCATGCAGCAGCTTTCAACGCGGAGCCAGAAATCGTCAATTTGCTTCTCCTATCAGGTGCTAAACCTAATCTAAAAGACAGCAGATGGTTAACGCCATTGCACCGTGCATGTCGCTCGAAATCTACAGATACAGTCAAAGCTCTTCTCGAACATTCCGGAGATGTTGTGGCGCGTGACAAAAACTGGCAAACACCTCTTCACATAGCTGCGGCAAATAATTCAATTGGTAAGCTGTTTTTCATAGCGCATTGAGTTTAAAAACTTAGCGAATATACATCTCATGTGTGTATTTGTAGGATCGATTGGTAATTTGACACGTCTAACAAAATAAGCATATTTTTATGACAGTAGCGCAGATTGTTCCAATAACAACTTTTCAATGTTAAAGTTTTTTAAATCGTTTTTTTTCCACTTTCTTTGTTTTCGAATTTTTCTAGAATGCAGAAATGTGTTTTGAAAGTAAGCTCCAAAAATGATCAAATTTAAGCAAAATAAGCTTGATTATGTTAAAACTGCTGAAAAATTAGACTGCATGCTACTTTTTCTATCCACTTTGGTGCTAAATTAGACTTAATTACGGAAGTATCGAGATCCGTTATTTATCGACACAGAATTTTTGAAATGTGTTTCGGAATCACAACTGCGCTTGAAAGGGCTTTGTTATCATCTCATACTCGATGCCTCCCGAGTGTTCTTCGATGTGCATAGTTCTGTGTGACAAAAGTTGCGCCAAAAGTAATGGGCGAGGGTTTAACAACAAATTTTTGCTATATGTATTGATTATTCTCCCCATTTGATGCAATTCCGTTTCTTGCCTTTGTTTTAATTTCAAAGAATAGTTGACAGCGGTGTTGTTTTCGAAAATTTCACGGAGTTTTCACCTGTCTATTTAAGGCATTTCAGCCGATCTTAGTGTTTTTTTAACATTTAGGTTGCGCCGAGTTGCTGATTCCTCATTTGCCAAATATCAATGTGGCTGATCGACCTGGCAAAACTCCTCTTCACCATGCTGCGATTAATGGACACTACGAGGTAATTAGTGCATTTGAAGGCCAAAATAACTTAGCTAGCTTACTTTTTGCGACCTAACTCCCACGTTTTCGTTGGTAATTTAAGTGCAGTTCAGTTATTCTAACAGATTTACTCAAAGTCCAGAGGCAAGCTACAATTGATGCTGAGGTTGATAGTAATGGCTATTAGACTTTTTTTATACCATTTGAAAGATTTTGATGCCCTGAACTAGGCATCGAAAATATATTCACGTGCGATTGTTTTTCAGTGAGTGGATTCAAGAAAAAATCTGAACGTTTCAAAATTCTTTTAAAAGTCGATGAAAGTAGTTGAGACTCTTATATATTTCTCGATGGTTTCTTTTCGTTTTTTTTTCAGGAAAAATTTTAAAATGCTCTAAGGATTACTGGAGTGCATTCAAACACCTAGATGCTTTTCTGAGAGCACTGAGCTATATATGCACTTTTTGAGTTTGAAATTCAACTGCAAAAAGGCGGTCAGTCAAATTGTGCTATCCAAATACGAACGTGGAAATGGCGCAAAAAACTATCCAGTTTCAAAAACTGAAATTAGTTTCAGATTTCCCAGCGGAATGAAAACTTTCCTTAGCACTCCAGTTTTCTCTCATTGAGGTAATTTTTTAAAAAAAAAGGCAATCAATAATTGTTCATAAAGTTAAAATAGCTAAGACTTTTTCCCCTTAAACAACATCGTTTTCATGATTTTGTAGATGTTTCATCTTGCTTTATAATAAACTCAAATTGTGTTTATCACAAGCATCGCGTAGAGCTAACACCTACTTGAGTCGACTAAGGCTTGTGATTCAAATTCGGCCGGGAATTTAAGAGTCATGAATTCTCATATAGGTCTTGGTGATTTATTGGATTGCTTTTTTCAGGAAAAGTCTGTGTTAACGCTAAAATTTGATTATTCACGGTTTGACTTTTCATGTCTGTGAAGGTTCATTTCATTTCCTTCTTTGAGAGGAAGGTCAACTCCACTGTCGAACAGCAAAAATGGTGAAAGTCTCGAAAAACGTGATCGACATTTAGTTTCGAAAGTGTAATTTAATTCTCAGATTTCAAAGCGGAATAAAAGTTTTACCTTTTGATCCAGTTTTCTCAAATTGGGCCAATTTTGTTTAAAAAAATTGTCAATTATAAACAGTTTTTGAACTTCAAAGAATCTTAGGGCCATATATTTTTTACTTTGAACTTCGAAAGTTGAAGTGTTTTAATATTAATTGTCAACTGTTTCGAACTATCGTCCATCTGTTTGTTTTTGTCGGATTAGTTTGCGTAGTTATGACTCTTTTTCGCTCCCTCCATTAATTTGCATAGAATGTATACGTTTGAGGTGATTGTGCTCGCGATTAGCAAGCGTCGTCAATATGAAACATATACTTATTCATGTTAACATCTTGTCCAACAAAATCACGGAATAATTTTCTCAAATCTGCACTTTCGTCAACCAACAGACATGTTTTGCGCATGTTTGAATTTCAAATACCCGTTCTTTTCATTGTTTGTTTTTCATGTTAGTTTTACATTTACTGACTCCTGCTCGGTAAAACTTCCTTTTTCCTGGCTTTTTTGTATACTCAACTTGAAAGTTTTTTTTTGGTTTGTACTTAATCTTTAGATGACATCATACATAACACTTTTTTCCCGCAAGTAACTTCGTTCACAGAATGTTGAAATTAGTAATTGTAAGTTCAGGTTCAGTTCATAATGAATTCAAGTTTCTTTGCGTCTCCGGCACACTTGGTCTGGAGGTAATCAATACCAAGGGACGGCAAAGATCCTGATATCGAAACTGACTGGACATGTTTTTTTTTCAAACGGCAAATATTCCGTTTCAAAAAGTTTGCGTTTTTCGGCTTTTTTGTTGGCTTTTAGTTTTTCCACTTACTTCGGCTGTTTGTAATTTTACTTACTTCAAGTGGTTATGTTTTCTATTGTTTTTTTTTGCTGAAAGTTTATCTGCTTAGCGACCTAATTTGGAGTCATTTCAAGGAAAACATAATTTTTATGCTCTCATCTGGATTGCAAAAAATTTTCAGAAAAATTGATTTTTTTGCCGGCTTAATGATTCCATCCCAAATCTTGTCGGCTTACTGGCCGTGTGTTTTATTTCTGTTATTTTGGTAGACTTCTCAGGTTTTTTTCTACCCTCGAGATAAGCAAGGGTAATTCAATCGACTTTTTTCCCGTAAATAATTTTGTTTACAGGACTTGCCTGGACTCATCTCTACCTTGTTTTATGATCTATTCAATTTTCTTCGCGTTCCCGGCCAACTTGGCCGGGAGGTAATGTATGTGCCTAGGGCGGCAAATGTCCTGGGTTCGAATCTGACCACCAGGACCTTTTTTTCGAACGAGTAATATCTGTTTCATTTAAATTTCTCGGCCATTTTTTCTCTGCTTATCTGTTGTCGGCTTAGTTGTCACATCTTGGAATCGTTTTTTTTTGCTTCGCGCATCTTTTTTACTGTTGCTTTTAGTGTTTGATTTGCTCCTACAATATTATTTCGACTTTGGGTCGTTTCAAGGGAACACACAAATTTAACAATCAATTCGTCATTATGTAAGTTGGTTGTGTGTTTACTAATCGGTTTATTGAAATTTCATTTTTTTTCGTTTTGGAAATTTCTTATTCATATTTTGTTTTTGCAAAATATTCAGTTTTTCTCAGAATTTTTTTTCTGATTTTTTCAAAAAAGGGGTATCAATTGAAAGATCGCCTTCTCCCTGTATTCCTGCATGCGTCTCTACAGTCTCATTTTGCTGAACCCCTGTCTACAGCCTTCGAAACAAACTGTTGGGGAATATTTTACCCATATTTTCATTTTTTTCTTCGTTTTTCTCGTTTTTTTGTTACCGCGTTTTTGCTTTCCAGGAATAGAATGGATTTAAAACGCACCTCAAAGCGGCTACGCCCAATTTTTTCTTTCACACGGAATTACAGTCCTCGGAAAAGTCAAATTTTTGATTTCTGATCGTTTTGTGTATCTTTTTTGACTTTTCTCGAAAACTAACATCTTAAATCTGATTTTGTGGGTCAATGGAGTTAGCGGGTAGTTGGATGCTCCCCTGCATTAGCGACCACTCACAAAAGTTTCACACAAAACAGTTATCGCCGTCGGAAAAGTCAAGTTTTTGATTTTCGACAATTTTGGGTTCATATCTGAGATTTTGGGTTCATTTCATAGAGCATGATGTGGAAAGCTCATTTGCTGATGTGACTGCTACCAAATTTTTATGACACTAAAAATATGGCCCTCGAAAAAGTCAAGATTTTGAATTTTTGACAGTTTTTTTTGAAAGTTTTTGACTGTTCTCGAGAACTACGCTCCCAAATCTGAAATTTTGGGTTTAATCGAAATATTTTCACACGAAAAGCTTTGATTCTCGGAAACATCAAATTTGTTGACCGTTTTTGAGATTTTTATCGCAATAATTCTGCCAAATCTGATATCATAGGTTTAATCGAAACAACAGGTTGATGAAAGACTACCTTTATAATTGGTTATGCCCAGTTTGTTTTAGAAAAAGTTATGCGAAAATTACTGGGCCAATTATCAGGCTTGAAATCAAATAACCCCGTTTTGCGAATCTTTTCTGCTGAAACGGCCATTCTGTTTTTTGCAGAAAAAATTATGGATTTTGGAAAGTCTTTTGACCATTTTTTTAAGACATTTTTTGATTTTTTTGTACACGATCAAATCTGAGATCAAAGTCCAGTTGCATGAACCGGTTGCGTTAATGGTTTCCGCAGAAGCGGCTACTCCTTAATTTTTAAGAGTATTGAGTAGTAAATAGTCTTATATAGATCTTTCTGATTTTTTTTGTCAGGTAGGACTTACTGATTTTTTTTTCAGGTAAAGTCCTGAAATTTGTTCTCGCTGAATTTTATTTTTTTTTTGCGGTTTTGATTGTGATTTTGAAGTTCAGTGCATTTCCATTGTTGAAATGAAGGCAAACTCCATTATCGAACAGCGAATGTGAGAAAGTCACGACAAATTTGATCGACTGCATTTTTTGGAAGTGGAGTTTAGTTTTTAGATTTCCCAACTGTATAGGTAAAGAATTAGCAGGTAAATCAATAGGTAAAAAATCTTTACTTGTTGATCTAGTTTTCTTAAATTGAATTTCTTTTACCAAAAGTTTGTCAATCATAGATTTTTCTTGAAATTCAAAGATTTTGAATGGCATATATTATCTATGAATTTCAAAAATTGACGTTTTCTTTAAAGAACAAGTGAGTATTTTAAGTAACGTTTGATGAACGCAGTTTAGACTCTTATATAGGTCGCGATGATTTTTTGTTTTTGCTTTTTTTTTCTAGGAAAATTTTTTCAGACTCAAATTACTTTTTCGAGGTTTGACTTTTGATTTTTTTTTTAGTTCAGTTCATTTTTTTGTTGAAAGAAAGGCAATATCCACTATTGTATAGCAAGAGTGTAAAAGGTTACGAAAAACGTGATCGACTGCAATTTTCGAAAGAGGATTTTAATTTTCAGATTTTCCAGCGATTGATCCAGTTTTCTCTAACTGGATTAGTTATATCAAACAAATGCCGGTCTTAAATTATTCCACATTTTTTCAGATTTTTTTTGCTTGCTTGCGTTCAATGACTCCTTACCAGCTGAGTTTTTTGTTAAGTGCTTTGAATTAATTTTTGTGTTACTTTATTGATTTGCTCAAGGATTGCGCAATTTTATTTCATTCAAGTCGATGGCCTAGTCTATTGTTTTCATATGTCGAATGAATTTTTTTTTAAAAAATCCTTAATTATTCAGCAGTTTTTTTTTGCAGTTTTGACTTTTTCTCTACGTAGGTATATGGTGAGTGTCGCACGAAATTCAGTGTGGTTATTTTTACTGGTTAAATTTTGGAAAAAAAATGTTTTTTTTTCTGGTTTTTTTTTTATTTTCTTCACGGGCCCTTCGTCTTTCTTATTTTCATCTTTTTGTTGTGATCCAGCTCTCTGAACGTTGCGTATGAAGTTCATATTGTGTTATTGCTCCGACCATTGAAAATGGGAAGGAACTTTTGTCTTCGGGTTTTTTAGGTTTAGTTTTTTTTTCCTTTTTGTTTTCCACGCAAAATCAGGTTCCACAAATAATGATCATACTGGTTGAGTGATATATCGTACATAAGCCCATTCAGTCATGATTCGAACCACATTTTGAAAAATCCATAAAAGTTTCCCAGTGTCAAGAAAAACCGTTTTGAAATTTTTGATTTTTTGTCTTAATTCGAGCGAATAAAGCAAGTGAGCAAGCTTACAGGCTGAATTATGCTAATTGAAGACCTTAAAACTTATTCTTAAGCTAGTAAAACTAGTTTTTGGAGTTTTTTTAGTTTCATTTTGGGAATCGAAAACATCGAAAAATACAAAATTTTCATCGAACACTTTAAAAAAAAAATTAAAAAATTTTTTCATGTCATCTTTCTACAAAAATTGTGGTCCAATTTGTCTATATTACAATGACTGTCTAATATGCCTAAATTATCTTTTTACGTCAGATCGTTTTATCACACCAAGCAGAAAAAACTAAACTAGTTTGGATAAAAAAATCCTAAACCGTAGATTTCTATAGACTATGGTCGGAACATTCTTTGCTACTTGCACAGTAACCGGCTATCCTTGTTAAGAGTAATGAACGTAGTGAAGGCACTTATAGGTCTTGCTGATTTTTTTTGGAAAAATCTTAAAATAGGTATACTTTTTGAGAGCAATTGAAATTCATCTGAAAGTGACGTAAATAGCACGGTCCAAATACGAACGTGCGAATGGCGCAAAATTTCGTGAACGATTAATAGTTTCTAAAGTGGAATTTAGTTTTTAGATTTTCAGGCTTATATCATACATAAGCCCTTTCAGTTTTTGGGCTTTCAGTCATGATTCGAACCACATTTTGAAATCCAAAAAAAATTCCCAGTGTCAAGAAAAACCGTTTTGAAATTTTTGATTTTTTGTCTTAATTCGAGCGAATAAAGCAAGTGAGCAAGCTTACAAGCTGAATTATGCTAATTGAAGACCTTAAAACGTATTCTTAAGCTAGTAAAACTAGTTTTTGGAGTTTTTTTAGTTTCATTTTGGGAATCGAAAACATCGAAAAATACAAAATTTTCATCGAACACTTTTGAAAAAAAAAAATTAAAAATTTTTTCATGTCATCTTTCTACAAAAATTGTGATCCAATTTGTCTATATTACAATGACTGTCTAATATGCCTAAATTATCTTTTTTACGTCATATCGTTTTATCACACCAAGCAGAAAAAACTAAACTAGTTTGGATAAAAAAATCCTAAACCTTAGATTTCTATAGACTATGGTCGGAACATTCTTTGCTACTTGCACAGTAACCGGCTATCCTTGTTAAGAGTAATGAACGGAGTGAAGGCAATTATAGGTCTTGCTGATTTTTTTTGGAAAAATCTTAAAATAGATATACTTTTTGAGAGCAATTGAAATTCATCTGAAAGTGACGTAAATAGCACGGTCCAAATACGAAGGTGCGAATGGCGCAAAATTTCGTGAACGATTAATAGTTTCTAAAGTGGAATTTAGTTTTTAGATTTTCAGGCTTATATCATACATAAGCCCTTTCAGTTTTTGGGCTTTCAGTCATGATTCGAACCACATTTTGAAAAATACAAAAAAATTTCCCAGTGTCAAGAAAAACCGTTTTGAAATTTTTGATTTTTTGTCTTAATTCGAGCGAATAAAGCAAGTGAGCAAGCTTACAAGCTGAATTATGCTAATTGAAGACCTTAAAACGTATTCTTTAGCTAGTAAAACTAGTTTTTGGAGTTTTTTTAGTTTCATTTTGGGAATCGAAAACATCGAAAAATACAAAATTTTCATCGAACACTTTTGAAAAAAAAAAATTAAAAATTTTTTCATGTCATCTTTCTACAAAAATTGTGGTCCAATTTGTCTATATTACAATGACTGTCTAATATGCCTAAATTATCTTTTTTACGTCATATCGTTTTATCACACCAAGCAGAAAAAACTAAACTAGTTTGGATAAAAAAATCCTAAACCGTAGATTTCTATAGACTATGGTCGGAACATTCTTTGCTACTTGCACAGTAACCGGCTATCCTTGTTAAGAGTAATGAACGTAGTGAAGGCACTTATATAGTTCTTGCTGATTTTTTTTGGAAAAATCTTAAAATAGGTATACTTTTTGAGAGCAATTGAAATTCATCTGAAAGTGACGTAAATAGCACGGTCCAAATACGAACGTGCGAATGGCGCAAAATTTCGTGAACGATTAATAGTTTCTAAAGTGGAATTTAGTTTTTAGATTTTCAGCGGAATAAAAACTTTACCTATTGATCTAGTTTTCTCTAGCTGGGTTCATGTTATCAAAAAAGCGCCAGCCATAAATCGTTCTAGAAATTCAAAGAGCTTCAAGGGCATCTATTTTTTTCTTTGAAATTCGAAAATTAAGTTTTCTCAACGAAGTCTGTGTTTTTTTAATGTTTACTTGCGTTCATTACTCTTTTCCAATCTTCGAGTGGCTGTGTTTTAAGTTTATATTAATTTGTTAAATGGGTAATTCTTTGTAAGGTCTGAGAGTTTTTATAGACTTTCTGCAATATATTTTATGTGGAAATTGTTTGAAACTTGAGCGTTCTTTTTTTCAATTTTTTTCTTTCATTTTGATTATGTGCATAGCAAGTGTTCCTTTGATGTTATTGCCAACCGTTTCGCTAGGTTGTTCATTATGTTTGGTTGCAACGTTTAAGCAAAGTTGGGTACATTTAGGAACTTCTGGATCTCGATTTTTGGAACAAATTTTTTTGATCTACTGTTTATCTATTGGTTATGAGAAAAAAATGAATACAATTTGTGCAGCTAAAATACTTCTTAGGTTTCAGGTATTTGATTTCTATAACAATTGCCATAAATTTAAGTCTGCTCTGCTTCGCATCTTTGTAATAATATTATTAATTTTTTGGCTGATTTTTTTTTGCTGATAATGGGCGGCTGATACAGCGAAAATGAATGTTTTTTTTGGTGTTTTTTTTGGTTCTGTCCTTCGTGGGATGTAACAATATTGAATCTTAAAACATTATATAGCACAAAATTTGTACAATTTTTGGCGCTCGGGACGTCTACCTAAGTATTTTCTGCCTAGCTACTGCTTGATAGTTTTTGTGTCAGTGGTAATGTAACGCTACGCATTGCGTTTCTATATTTGTTCCTCAAATTGAACATAATTTGAGACAACGTTTAAAGTTAGTGTTTGTAGCATTTTTCCAAAGTGATTTTTTGTGAATTTCGCCTTGTTTTCAATCCGCTTACTTGCAAGGACATGTGTGTGTGTGTGTGTGTTGTATTGCAAGTTTTGTAAATTTCTGCTTCGCCTGTGTAAAACAATTTCAAAAATTTCGGGCTGACAGTCTTTTCGTACCAAATTTGTTTTACTTAATTACCCTCCTTCCGTAATGATAGCATATTTTAACTCAATGTAAGAAAGCTTTATTGGTGCGTCGCAAGTCGTCCAAACCTTAGGTTTGCTTCCTTTTGGCAAATAAATTGCCAAAAAATCTCTGCATACGGTTAAGTGATGCTTGTTGGTTCAGATGGTGACCTTGCTTCTGGGTAAAAATGCCAATGTGAACTCATCAGACAGAACTGATAGAAGACCATTACACTGGGCTGCATTTATGGGTAAGAAACCTTTTTTATATACAAAGCTGAAATTGAATCTAATCTTTGAAACTATTTCATGGTTCTTTTTCAGGGCACTCCGAAGTCGTGAAAATATTACTTACACACGGAGCAGAAACTACTTTTAAAGATAAAAAGGTTTGTTATGGATCTTTAATATAGTCAATGGCGTCTTATAATTGTATCTAGTTTTCATTTTGAACTAAAGGAAAAATTCACCAGGTACAGATTAGCGCATTTGGAACCGTTTAGTCATAAACGAAATCCGGTAGTTGTTCTTGACAAAAAACTTCAGCAGGTTGATTAAGCCGCAAAACTTAATTTCTTTGACCAGCAAAGCTGTTATTGATATGCTTCAGGGAAACCAAGCAGCGCATTTCGCAGCAGCTTCCGGTCACGTCGGAGTTCTGCTGCAACTGATCGATGCCGGATGTGACGTAAGTAAATTGTATCTGTCGTGAAGATAATTGCAGCAGTTAAATCGAATGTTCGATTGCTAATTATTGACAAAATAGCAGTAATGGCCTCATGCAAAGTTCTTTTTAAAAAGTAGGAGCTTTGTTTTCATTGTTTGCATGGTAGGAATCGATAACATAATGCCATGAATTAGAATTTATGTTTTAAGAAACCAACCCTTTGTTTTAAATAATGGTCAAGTATATATTTGGTCTCCTTGAGTTAAATGACTTTTTTTAACTATATGTTGGCTATGTTTGAGCATCGTACACCAAATGCCAGATCTTTTATCGGATCAGGAACTTATTTTTTTGCGAGATCTTATACTTGGATATACATGAATTGAGCCTCTTTATTGTAGTTGAACGTTGCAAACGTAATGGGCGATACCCCACTGCATCTTGCATGTGTAAACCACCACACTCAAGCAGTGAACGAACTACTAATGAACAACGCAGATTGTCACGCCACTAATACCAGAGGCTACACCTGCCTTCATTATCTTGCACCCTTCGACGACTCAGGAGACATCATCACACGGCTTATATTAGAAGGTTGTGATGTGAACAAACCAGCTAGAAATGGCCAGACTGCTCTGCATATAGCATCTTTGGCGGGCAGACTAGACCATTGCGAGGTTCTTATTAGAAATGGTAAGTGAGGTTTGAAGTGATGTTGTCCTTGAAGCCAATATCAACCGTACAATACCTCCAGCCCCTAAGTGACCTACCGTAGAATGACCTCCCCAAGCTTGTTTTAAATCTAAAAATAATTATGTATAAAATATGCATTTCTTACACTAAAAATAATTATGTATAAAATATGCATTTCTTACAAACGCGCAAATAAAATATGTTTTATATTTTTTATGCGGGATTGCATTTGTATGTTGTTAATTACACAAATCAATGTTTTAATTTACAAAACGGTTAATTTTGAACGAATCAAGGCTAAACTCAAAGCTGGCTGATTACGCTTGCGATAAGCAAGCGTTATCAAACTAGAATGTAGAATTTTTTCTAGGCAACTAGTTCCACAAAATCCATTGAATCACTTGCTGACTTTTCACTTATTTTCTCTTAAAATCGTACATTGTGCTTCCCCCTCGGGCTGGAGGTAAAACAGCTGCCTTTGTATCTTATGATCTGGGTTTCGAGTCCTAGCCGGACCTTTTTTTTCAGTATCAAGGAAATTGACAAAAAAAATTCCGAGAAAAATGAATTGTTGGTTTTTCGTTTGTTCGCTCAAGTTTTGTCGGCCAAATTGCCACAACGGATTATGCTTGCTACTATTTGAAATTTTGCATATATTTGACTACCAAAGAATTACATCCCAATTCTCCTCTGTTTGATCTCTTAGTCACAAACTCGATCCAGTGAACAAAAAATATCTGAAGTTTGAAGCTTAGGTTTCAGTTGGCTTCAGAGTTCCTGCTAAAACTTGCTCCTTATATTGAATGGAGTATCTATTAAACGTTTTTAGGTGCGATTTTGGAATATGAAGACCAAGATGGCAACAAGGCTGTGCACTTAGCTGCCTATGCTGGACACCCAGAAATAGTCAGTCTATTGATTGACCACGGTGCTCAATATAGAAGGTAAGAAAATTGTTGACGAAGTTTGTTCAACTTTTAATTACGCTTGCGATTAGCAAGTTTATCAAACTGAATCTTTTTTCATTTAAACAACTCGTTCAACAAGATCACTGAATCATTTGTTAGCTTGATCTAGTATCAATTCGATTAGTCTGATCTTGTACATCTGACTTAGAAGTCCGATAAGAACCTGTATTTTTCAAAACTGAAAGTTTTGGTCTATTGTTTGTTTATTTACACTGCGAGCTTGCGAGCATAGTGTATCATTACGAACCTTCTCTTTTCCAACCTAGATCGCAGATAAAGTGTTCATTAAAAGCTATTAAAAAGAGATTCAATAAAAGAGATAATGAGTCTCACGCACAGACCACTCAGCTACGTACGGCTAATAAATCAAAAATAATAGCCAAAATGAACGCAGAGAACAGATACTCAAAAATTTGCCTTGCTACAGATCATGACTATAGCTAAACTGCCACCAAATAAGTCAACATTTTAAGTTGCGAATTAGGTTGGAAAAAAGAAGATAATTACCAATGCAATACGCTGCTCGCTAATGTAATCAAATAGCCAACTGACAGTTGAAAAAAGTAATGAACTCAAGGAAGCAGAAAAAAAATTGACGTGGCACTTTAGCTATAATCACGATCTGTAGCAGTGCAAATTTAATAGCATCTGTTTTCTGCGTTCATCTTGGCTATTATTTGTGATTTATTAGGCGTCCGTAGCTGAGTTGTCTGTGCGTGAGACTCATAATCGCTGTCGCAGATCGAATCTGAGGCGCAGCCGAATTTTCACTAATTCGAGGCTTGTTTCTACTTTTTCTTTTTGCACTTTATAGAGCTGCTTTTTTGTCGTGTTCTCCCTAGTGTTTGCAAATAAATCGCAGCTTCGCCTCTGTCTTTAAAATTGAACTCGCAAAAAAAGTGCTGATTGGTGGTTTTTGCTACAATCACGATCTGTAGCAGTGTGGTCGACTTATTTGTGGACGGAATAAAAATTGACATTATTTACTTTTTAAATCATTTGAAACTTTTTTCAGATGAAAGTTTTTTCACATCACTGTTTTTATCCATGGTTAATTGGAAAATTGAAGGAATCTATCTATCTATCTATTATTTAATTGGCGTTTCACGTGACACATGTTTAAGAAGTCCATATGTTGACATGTTTAAGAAGTCCCTACTTTTGCATGTTTAAGTTTTTTCAACGTATTATTTTTTGCATATTTAACGAAAATATTTTTGCACGTTTAAGCTATACCGTAGGTTAAAATGCTTTAGAAATTTCATTTGGCTCATGTTTAAGTCTGTTAAAAGGCCGAAAAATTGCAAGATTTGAAAGTTTTGTGTATACAAACGTTCTAAACATTCCTATATTTTGGGGTGCTGTTCAGTACATTTATGGGTTGCAAATCTGTCGTTCAAGTATGACTGCTCAAATCCTTATATCGTTCGAGATATGGCGCTTTTATGATTTTTAATTTTTTTTCCAAAAAACCTAGAAAGAAAAAACCCAACCGAACTTGAATTTTGAACCCTATAGTGGGGTGCTATCAGGGTATATTCAGGGGTTGCAAATCTGGCGTCCAAGTATGACTGCTCAAATCCTTTTATTTTTCGAGATATGGCGTTTTTATGTTTTTTTTAGTTCTTTTTCAGAAAACTTAGATATTAAAAAATTAACCGAACTTCAATTTCTCAACCCTATAGTGGGGTGGTGTCAAGGTACATTCAGAAGTTGCAAATCTGGAGTCCAACTATGACTGCTCAAATCCTTTTGGTTTTCGAGATATGGCATTTTTAATGATTTTTTCATGTTTTTTTTTCAAAAAAATTTAGATATAAAAAAAATTATGCGAACATTAATTTCTCAACCCTATAATGGGGTGCTTTCAGGGTAAAATCAGAGCTGGCAAATCTGGAATCCCGGTATGACTGCTCAAATCCTTTTGGTGTTCGAGAAATAGCGTTTTCTATGATTTTTTCATTTTTTTGATCAAAAACAGATGATAAAAAAAAGATAACCGAACTTCAATTTCTCAACTCTATCGTGGGATGCTGTCAAGTTACATTCAGGGGTTGCAAATCTGGAGTCCAAGGATAGCTGCTCAAATCCTTTTGGTTCTCGAGAAATGGTATTTTTGTGATTTTTTTTTAAAATCTTAGATATAAAAAAAAATCAACCGAACTTCAAATTCTCAACCTTATAGTGGGGTGCTGTCAGGATACAATCAGGGGTTGCAATTTTGGAGTCCCGGTATGACTGCTAAAATTCTTTTGATTTTCGAGAAATAGCGTTTTCATTGATTTTTTTTATTTTCTTGTTCAAAAAGCTTAGATAAAAAAAAAATTAAACGAACTTCAGTTTCTCAACAATATAGTGGAGTGCTTTCAGGGTACAATCAGAGGTTGAAAATCTGGAGTCCAAGTATGACTGCTCAAATCATTTTGGTTTTCAAGATGTGGCGTTTTTTATAATTTTTTTTAAAAAAATTTAGATATAAAAAAACTTAGATACAAAAAACTAGAACTTCATTTTCTCAACCCTATAGTGGGATGCTTTCAGTTTATATTCAGGCGCTGCAAATCTTGCGTTCAATTGTGACTGCTCAAATTCTTTTTGTTTTCGAGAAATTGCGTTTTTTGTGATTTTTTAGTTTTTTTTCCAAGATATTAAAAAACTAACCGAACCTGAATTTCCCCACTTTATAGTGGGGTGCTATCAAGGTAAATTCGGGGTTTGAAAATCTGGCGTCCAAGTTTGACTGCTCAAATTCATTTGGTTTTCGAGAAATGGCGTTTTTTTATGATTTTTTCATTTGTTTTTTCAAAAAAACTTAGGTGTAAAGAAATATAACCGAGCTTCAATTTCTCAACCTTATAGTGTGTTGCTGTCAGGGTAAAGTCGGGGGTTGCAAATCTGGATTCCAAGTATGACTGCTGAAATCCTTTTATTTTTCTAGACATTTGTTTCGTCTGTTTTCTGAAGACTTGGTTTTGTAGGACCGGAGGTACGATTGACGCGCTAGTCTTTTTCGAACGATGAATACTTTTAGGAGCGAGTACAGTTATTTAGGTTTTATCCATTTTTTTGTTGAAAACTACAATAAAATTGGTTAGATACACAACAGAGAAAAACCAAGCTGATAGAACTTCGTTCAGCAAATGTGATGAAAGGTTTAATTCTTTTTATTTTTATATCGTCTAGTTGAGTTACTTTATTTATTTTGCTAAGGAAACGCTTAAGTTTGACTTTTCGCTTAAGTTTTACTTTAGATTTCATTTAACAAGGGAAAATTCAACCATCGAGCAGCAATTGTGTACAGGTCAAGAAAAACAAGAAGGACTTTTAGTTTTGTACGTGGATTTTAGTTTCTAAATTTACCAGCGGAATAAAAGAAATGTATATTTTTCGAGTTTTCTCAAACTATTTTATTTCAACCCAAAAGCTGTCAACAAGTACTTATTCTTGACATTCGAAGTGCTTAAGGTCCGGGTCGAATATGGCTCCAGAAGTCAGGGTTTGATTTCGGTAGTACCAGCTTTTTTTTCGAAGTCGATTTAAGTGCAACTTCGTCTTTGTGTTTCATCACTCTTTTGACAATTCTTTCCGAAATCAGAAAGTAAGCGACAATACTGATCATTAAGATAAGTGTCGTTGGACAAAGTGGAAACACATATTTAGGCCGTGTAGTTTTCTCACGAAAAAAAAAATTGATCACGCTAAAGTTTGAGTTTTTTGAGGTTCATTTTTAATTCAGTGCAAATGTTGGTTGATTTTAAAGAGTAATGCAAGCGGTTTATCTTCACTGTTTGGTTTTTCGCGATTTGACTTTGAATATTTTTTCATTTCCCTTGCTTACCCTTGACAGTTTGCGAAGCATAGTTTATTTGTACGAACCTTTTTTTTCTAACTTAACATGCAAATAAAAATGTCCATTCAAGTGTTAACCAATTTGGTGACTTTTTGCTGTAATCACGAACTGTAGGAATGAAAATTTCGTAACATCTATTCTAAGCTTTGTGCGGCTATTGTTTGTGATCTTTTAAGCGTCCGTAGCTGAGTGGTCAATGCGTGAGACTCATAATCTTTAGGTTATAGATCGAATCTGAGGCGTATCCGAATTTTCACTTATTCGAGGCTTATTTCTACGTTTTCTTTTTGCATTTTGTAGATCTGCGTTGTTGTTGTGTTCTCGCTAGTGTTTGCAAATCGCAGCTTCGCTCTGTGTTAAGAATCTAACTCGCGCATAAAATTGCGCATTTAGTGGTTCTTCTGCTATAATCACGATCTGTGGCAGTGGACTTACTTGTGGCTTTTGTTTGCCGTATGTCAAGTGTCTGTGGCTGAGAGGGAAAGACGTGAGATTCCTAGGCTAATTGTCGGAAGTTCAACGCGGCACTTGCGCTAGTTTTTTTTTGTATTGGCAGTTTTTTTTATTATCATTATTGATGTCTAATTTTATCAAATTTTCAGTTGTGCAGATACGAGAACGTGAGACTCAAAATCTCCGTCGCAGGATTGAATCCGAGGCATAGCAAAAGTTATACTAATTCGAGGCTGTTTTTTATCTCTTCTTTTATCACTTTTATAGCTGTTTTTTCGCTTGTTTTTTTTTGTCGCTCAGGCTCTAAAGCCGCGAATTTACACATGCTTTAAGCAATTTTTACTATAATTGGAGATTGATAGGTATCAACGAACGAAGTAAAAACACTCACTTCGTTCCTGTTGCTCAATCCAGATTCTTTTTTTAAAAGGAACCAAGTTACGCTCTCCGTCAACGAATATTCTCGAAAAGTTAAGATTGACTCTTCGTTTTGAAATTTGATCTTAATTAGAAAATTTTCCAGCTAAATAAAAAATTGTATTCATTCGAATTGGGTTAGTTTTATCACAAAGTGTCAATCATAAAACGTGTGCAACCTCGAAGAGCTATAAAGTATTTACTCTAGCGATCAGCGTAGAGTATTATTACGAACCATCTTTTTTTCTAACCTAACTCACAAATATAAAAGAGTTCATTAAGAGTGTTCACTTGTTTGGAAATTCTATTGTAGCATTGGAAATTGCCCAGCGTCTGTTCTGCTTTTGTTTGGCTAGAGTTTGTTTATTATTAAATGTTCGTGGCTGAGTGCTTAGTGTGTAAGACTCTGAATCTCTAGGGCGCAGGTTCGAATCCGAGATGTAGCCGAATTTTTACTAATTCGAGGCATATTTCTTATTGCACTTTATAGAGGTGCCTTTTGTCGTGTTCTTGCTAGTGTTTGCGAAGCCAAGCTTCGTCTCTCTGTACATTTTTTAAGTTATCGTGTCCTTTTGTCGTGTTCTTGCTAGTGTTTGCGAAGCCAAGCTTCGTCTCTATGTACATTTTTTTAAATTATCTGTTGGTTATTTTTGTCGAAATATTTTTGTCCTTAGTTGTTTTTTTTTGCCGTCTATCCTCAAGGTATCTTAATTTTTCTCTGTTATAGTTATCTGATTACATAAAAAGTTTGAATTACATTGCCGTATTTTCTCACAAACGGTTTCTTCTTTTTTGTCAATAAAGGTTGGATGACTTGTTTCAGCGCGGGTCAAAATGGAATGTCTGCAATGCACATGGCAGCTAGCAAAGGAAGAGTAGACTGCTGCAAGCTCCTTCTATCAAAAGGTAACCGAACACTGATCCATAGATTAAAATAGCAGAGCAGACCACTGTAGAAGTCATTTAGTTTTAGCGGATAAAATATGAAGAATTTTTATCTCAAAATATCAGAAATTACAGAAAACAAATTTTTTCAATAATTAGAAAGCAAAAATAGTATTGCATTTCCGATAGTCAAGTGTAGATTCGCTAAGGGTTTTGTGGCGATTTGACTGAAGTTTAGAAAATAAAGTTCAGTGCATTTGTGTATTTGGTGAGAGAAGTTGAATCGAGATCTGCGCCTGCAATCTAACGATTAAAATTTTGTGAAAAGTTAACAAAATGTTTATGAACAGAAGTGTTAAAACGACACCAAGTAAATTTTACTATTTTTTGCGGCACGCTGAGACAAGGCCAGGAGCGAATAACGGTTGTTACGAAAAGAGTGTCTAAATAAACACGATGCTGATGATGAAGTTTTTTTTTAAAAAAAAAGTGAAGTTTGTTAGGTTAAAGTTAGCGCTTTGCTGAAATTAGCGGCACCAAAAGTTCGAAAATTCTTTAAAAGTCTTTAATTCTTAAAATTCATTTTGCAAAGATAACCCCCGTGTTTTCAGTTTAAGCTATTATTAAAGTTCCTAGCTAATTGTTAGTCCCTGGCCTTATTCATAAAAAGCGATACAATTTTTTTTTAAATTCGAAGCTAACTAGGTCGACATTTTTTGTTCTACTTGCACAACTAGCAATTCCTGTTTCTTTCTGTATTTATTTTAACAACTTCCGTGAGGAGCAATAAGCTGCTATTACATTTGTTTGTTTTACTCTTTTAGCCCTTATCGACACTAGAATGGGTGAGTAACGAACCTTCTGTTCTTTCATAATATGCTACTAATAGGCTATTAATTCATGCACATTATTCTCTCTTCTGGTTTCTGATCTGGTTGCAGTGAAGTCGCCGCAACATTGAATTCGATATGTAATCGAAGCATTTCAGCCAAAGCATCAATTTATTTAGAAAATTTTCTAATAAATTTCAAATAACTTTTTCGAAATAATTTTGGCTGAATTGTACCAATTGAAGGCTGTCCAAAATGCCTGGAATCGGAATGAAAATGTGTTGTTTTGGCTCTTGTAAGAAGAATTGTATGTCAATCATGAATCCACTCGTGTTTTCAACTCGGCTTGGCTGTTTGATTTTCAGTTGCTGTGTCTAGGTTCTCTATCATTTTCAATTTTAGCAACTAAAGCAACATGATAGAAATATCTTTATGATAAATGCGCTGTGTTAGATAATTTGGGTTTGATGTAGAAAACAATATTGATGTGTTTGAATCTTCTTTGAATAAAATCAAGAATTTTTCTCGCATTCTGTTAAATATTATGCTTTCAGTTTGTGCAACTTTGTGGTTTTTAAATATTAGCTGATCTTCTTTGTTTAGACTTCGAAGTTGACACAGAGGATGGCGAGGGTAGAACTTGTCTTCATTTAGCAGCTTTAAGTGGGTAAGATGAATGAGATCTCATGTCATTTTCTGGAAATATTAAAATGTTGCTAGGGATTTTAGCAGACCGGTTTTTAGCAGACTCAGAACAATTATAAAGTCAGAAGGCTAACTTCAAACGCGGCATTCTTTGTATTGCCGCTAATTTAGACTGTTGTGTTTTTTAAGGTGATAGTTTTGTTGACAAATCGTGAAATAATTGTCTTAATTGGGGAAGCGTGACCCCAGACAGCGTCTTTTTGAGTCTGTCAATCAATCATGCATCACTTTATTACGCTGGTCTGCTGAAAGACTCAATTTTTACTTTTAATGCTACAAGATTGGGCTGCTAAACGATTAGTCTCCTATTAAAATGCAGCGGGTTTGTAATTTTCATTTTTGTACTAGTGTGATAGAGGGGTCCTAAGAAACTAAAAGTGGTTACGTACTGGTATTTAGACAACCGCGTATTCAGACTCGTCAGTAAGTAGACAAATACTGTATGAACCAATCAGAATCGAGACAAGGAAGAAATGAATAATTAATAATTATTTATTTCGTAAATTTGCTTTCCTATCTCGATTCTGATTGGTTAATATTGCTTACTGACGAGTATGAACAAGGAGCGGATAATAGTTGCTTTCAAAAAGGCAAAAAAGTTACTAAGAAGTTGCTCAAAATTGACTGGAAAAGTTGCTCAAAAAGTTGGTAAAAACTTGCAGAAAAACGTTAAATTTACAACGTTTTGTTACAGTAGCAGAACATAAGTTGGCGTACAGTTTTCTCCGTCATTGCTTGTCTGATATCTGTGTGAACATGTGTGTATGCGCTGAAGTTGCGCTCGACCTCAACCGCCACAATTGGTGCATGAGTGCTACCCACCCTCTGATCGACAGTCCATGACTTGATTATACTTCCATCAGGAATAACAGTTCCATTTTCAAGAGTCGCTCAAAAGTATCAACTCGTTGAATCCTGTATTCTTTTCAATACTTGATTGAAGTTTCTCCTTTCCCAGACCGTGTGTCAACTGACTCTGTATATTTCGGAACAATTGAACTCCTTCGCTAAGCGCAAGTCTTCCCTACATTTTCTCTAAAGCTCCAACGAGGAATTCATAGTTGACTGATATACAAGCAAGTTGTGCCTCAAGTTCCGGTCGCTGGTTCTGTAGAATATCTTTCACTGAGACCACGGCTGCCGAGTCATTTGGCAGCAGCTCAAAAATCTCTACCAGAACTTCCATATTTTTTGCATAGTAAGCAACTGCCTCCAGCCATGTCCCCCATCTAGTGATAGTGGGCCTAGGTGGTAAAGACAAAGTTGGGGCAAAACTTTGGAAAATTCGGATATGCTTTGGCGACTTCCGGAAAACTTTCTTCGAAAGAGCAACAAATTGATCGGCAAGCTTGAATTTTCGGCGTACTTGGTCGGCCACGTTATGTAGAGCATGTGCTAAACAAGTAGCATGTAGAAGCCTGGGAAACATTCCTTTCAAAACTGCATTGTATGCTTTTTTCATATAAGACGCACCGTCAGTAATAAATAACAAAAACCGGTCGTAAGGTAACTGGGGAAGCACCAACAAAAAAGAATCAATGAGAGCCTGCGATCTAGTCGAATGGTTGGTCGAGTCGAGAAAAACAACGTTCAAAAGATAATGTTCTGAGTTTTTCCCGTCTAAGGTACCCACAACAACATTGGCTACACATCGATTCTGCGCGTCAGTTGTTTCATCAATGCTTGCTCACAGGTTCTTGTCCATAAGTTTTTCTTTCAAAGAATCAAACTTGGCCTTATAAATATCACCAAGATAGTTCTTCCGCAAAGTCGACTCATCGGGGGTTGACTTTTTCGTATACTTGAACAAGAAGTCTCTCCAAGCTGGGTTACTCAGTTTTTTGAAAGGAATATTGGCACTTACGAAAGCTGAGCACAGATCGGACGTGTACTCGTCCTTTCCGGGAATAGCTGTTAACAGTGTCTGTTTTTGAGTCTTCGGCTGGGCTTTTTTCTGTAGATGTTTACCGCTGGACAAGTGTTGTAATACGTGAGAACGTAAATCGAATGATACCCTCACTTCGCACAATTGACAGAACAATAGTTTTCCGTCCGCTTTTAACTCCGGAAACTCAGTGGCAAAGTGCTTTGCCCGAACTGTCTCTGAAAGCTTTCCTTTCGGCATTCCAGAAAAGTCTGAAAAGAAACAAGAATCGAGACAGAGCAACGTGATTGTGAACGTGAGAAAACAAGTTACAGTGCACAGTAAAAGTTGTGTGAACAAAGTACTTCAACAAACAAAACGAAGCACGGATGGCTGAGCTGCCATTGGATAATTAATATTCGCCAGCTGCAGCGCATCTGTGTTCGTTGAATCCGTTAATATGAGCTTCAAACAAAGAAAACTTCCGAAAAAGTTGCTATTGTGAAGTTTATTGGAAAATAGATAGTTATAGGGAAAAACAACAGAAAAGTTGGAAATAGTTGTTTTTAGTTGCTAAAACTATTATCCGCTCCCTGAGTATGAATACGCGGTTGTCTAAATACAGACTGCACTCCACTAACCGTATACCTTATGTAAATAAAGTGTCTCAAAACTTCAGTTTCTTGCTTTGGTACTTTCAACTTAGTTTTGAAGTAAGTTAGCGCAAATGAGGCAGGTTAATTACGCTTGAGAACAGTTTTGAAACGACTGACCGGCGCATATTGATTAAGTTATTTACTGTATTTGCTTAAAATTAGAGTGATTTGAGACACCTCTCTCATTGGTTTCTGGAGGGTTCCATCTATCACACTTGCACACTTAACAGTTAATGGGGGCGTTCAACAGTGTCGAAGTACAACAGTGCCGAAAAAGGCGGGACAATTTCAGAACAATTTAAACGCATTTTCTTACATTTTCTAATGAGCAGGAAATTACTGACGCTAATTAACAAAGAAAATTGCTCCAATTTTGGTGCCAAAATGTCTGCAACTGCACATTAAACAATTATTTTGACGCCAAAACGTCTAATTGCAAATTTTCGCGCTCAAAATCTTAAACTGGCACTTGAGATTTTAAACGTTCGCCGTTTAGTTTTTGATTGCCGCACTTAGGGGACCGACCTTTTACCAGACCGACCGCTTACCAGAAAAGTTAAAACATAGACCAGACCAGTAAACAAATTTGATTGACAGGTGTAATGGCGCCGCTAAGTCTGCGTTTTATTACAATTATCCCCCACTGATCTCACACTTTCTTTTCAAAACTGTTTGTTTTAACTACTTTGTTCTTTTCGATCTGAAATAATTTTGAAATGAATTTTACCAAAGTAAGGGGGTCAAAATGGAGGCGAAAATTTAATCTGCCAAGACTTCTTATTTATAAAAAATAGGAAAAAAAGTCGACTCAATTTTATCGATGTTTTAATGAAAGTTGTGGGTCGAGACTTTCCTTAGAATTAGAACGAAATGTTATTATAAACCCGCCGTCCAGTCACAACCACTTACAACATTTTGAAGAGATAGCGGACCGAAATTTTCGGGAAAAAAATTAAAGAAAAACTTGAAAATGATCCAAGCCAGCTTAAAAAATCTCTATCAAGACGAGTTGCAAGAAATTTCGAATGACGAGAATAAGGAAAACTTTTTGCCCCCCACCCCCGATTTGAACAGTTCCGCCGATTTATGAGTAAAAAAAGTCCAAAATTATGCCGATTGTGCCAAAAAAATTTTACCGATGTAAAAATAGAGCCCCCCTGGACCCTGACAATGAGATAGAAACGGTTTCTCCTGCACCAAAAAAAAAACAAAATTTTGATTTTTTCTACCGACATTGGGCTTAAATTTTTGGCTTCATCGAAGAACATTTTGTCAGATGGAACTTTTCAGAGAGCCCTTTTATCAAGTTTGTTATATTTGGTTCATCTCAAGAGTGGAAAATTTCTGTTGTGTGGGCTTTCTTGGGTGAAAAAACTGAAGAAATTTTATCAGAAATTTTTTGGATTATTGCGATAAAAAATCCAATAATATTTTGGAATTCGATTTATGCCAGACAATATAGTTATTGATTATGAGACGGGAGTTATACCGGTGATTCAAAAAGTTTTCTTATGTTTCGAAACTTTGCGGTTGCTGGTTTCATTTTTCTCAGTGCGTTCTTAGAAAAATTTGGGCAAAAATTTTGCCCAAAATGTAATTGAAAATTTGGGCAACATTTTTGATTACATTTGGAATTTTTGGGTTTTTAGCCCAATTTCGATGGAGATTTGGAACTTTTTCGACCGAAGCCTTGAGATTAGAACAACAAATGTGTGCGAGAGCTGGAACGCAGGCTTGCACAAATCTGTAGGGACTTGTCGACTCAATTTTTGGAAAGTTTTAAGAAAATTATATTGCGAAGAGATGAGTTCGCATTTTCAATTAAGACGTGCCAACCGAGGAGATTGCCCCCCACTTGAAAAAAAGAAAATTCCGAGAACTGGATCGGAAAATTTTGAGATGGAAATTTTTGTATCTCGGGGAAAATATATCCGAGTACGAATATTGGGATGGAATAACGCTTATTTGTCGTCGAACTCTTTGAAACTTTCGTTTATTCAGGACTTTAAACCCTTTGTTTTGTTTACACCGAAGACTTTATTATTTATGTATGTGTATTTATTTCATTTATTTATTTTCATTTATTCATATTATGGGTCTGTTTGTTTGGTTATTTGTTCATATATATTTTTTCATGTCTATTTAATTATTTGTACATTTCACTTTTGCTTTTATTTATTTATATATTTATTTATATATGTATTCATTTATGTATTTATTTATTTATTTATGTATTGATTTTTTTTTTTTGTTGCTTATTTATTTATCAGGTGTGTTTTGTTTATTTGTTGATATTTATTTCTATATTTATTTAATTCATTTACTTTCATTTATTTATATTATGGGTCTGTTTGTTTGGTTATTTGTTCATGAGATATATATTTTTTCATGTTAATTTAATTATTTGTACATTTCAGTTTTGCGTTTATTTATTTATTTATTTATGTATGTATTTATTTATTTATGTATTGATTTATTTTTTTATTGTTTATTTATTTATCAGGTGTGTTTTGTTTATTCGTTGATATTTATTGCTATATTTATTTAATTATTTTCTTTCATTTAGTTTTGCTTTTATTTATTATTCATGTATGTATTTATTATTCATTTATTTATTTATGTTTATTTATTTTTGGTTTGTTCGTTCATTTGTTGGTTTGTTCGTTCATTTATTTATTTATTTAGTTAGCGTCTTTGTTGTTTGATTGTGAAATTTGATGTTTTACTTCTTAGCTATGTAGTTAAAAGCAAAAAATGATTTTCAATTTATTGTTCTGTTTAGGATATTTTCAGAAAGATCTGTATATCACCAATTAGCGTACAACGATTTGCAGGGAACGCTGCCAACGAGATTTGTCCACTTGCTTTTGGGTTGCAGCTACATCAAAAATGATTTTAAATTATTTATTTTAAAGATTTATCTATAGTTATATCTGTCCGGTAATTTATTTTCAAATTTGCTTTTGTATTTCTCAAAAAAGAATTTGTTGGAGCGTGGACTCAATAACGTAAAGCAAAATGTTAAATTTTATGTTACTTCTATTTTCAGTCATGTAATGGAGCCATTTCGACCCACGGGCATTGCAAATGATGACAACAGTTGCTATCTCAATTCTGTTCTTCAGCTTTTGTTGTCAAGTTGTTTGGTTTTTGCTTCAGTTTCTATGCCTTCGGTGTATTGCGCGTAGCGCCTATGTTGTAATATATCCATTATAATGTATTTATTGTGTTTTGTGTTCTTATTTATTTGAATAAAATAAAACGTTCTGATTGGTTGAACTTTTGGTCTGGTAAAAGGTCCTTCTGGTAAAAGGTCGGTCTGGTAAAAGACCTAGCCCCCCGCACTTAATATGTCAAAAAAATTTCAAATTTTCAGCACTGCTGAACAAAGTTTTCATTTTCGGCACTGTTGTACTTCGGCACTGTTGTACTGCCCCCGTTAATCCATTTAAATGTTCAAAAACACAAGAAAAACGAACTCTACCATTTATTCAGTTTCTTATGGCAGTTAGCAGTTACTTAAAAATGTCAGTTACTTAATCAATTCAAATGAAAATAAAAAAGCAATTTAACGAATTCAAGCTTTCAGGAGTGTTTGAGGTTTATTCACCTAAACATATTCCTTTTCAAGATAAAAGATTCTTTGTAGCAGAAAAAGGTTCTGAGTCTCAATAAAGATTCACAAAAATATTTCATCTTTTAGCAATGAAGTGTGTGTGGAATTGTTGATCAAAGCTGGCAGCGAGCTGAATGCATTTGACACCGCTGGACGCACAGCTCTTCACTATGCCTCCCATTTGCCTTCATTGCGAGCTGTTATCACTCTGTTGCAAGCAGGGGCATCAGTGAACACAGTAGATAAGAAGCAAGGAACGGCACTGCATTATGCTAGTCTGGCAGATGATAATGGGAGGTAAGACTTCATAGTAAAAAAAATAAACTGGAGATCAAAATAAACTTGATGCTTAAGCACCAAAGCAAGCTTTAAAAATAAATTCATCAAATCGTGAATTTGTTTTTAAAAGGTATAATCCGAGGATAGCAGCCCCTCGCCGGGCATTATTATACAAGCAGGCAGCAGGGAGTTTTCATTTTGCATGATATGAATGGATGTTCTGAGTATTAGGACATAAGCAGGAACTCACTCGCCTTATTTATCCACTCCAAAGTTTTGTGCTGTGGAAGTTGGCGTAACCTGATGATGTTGTTTGTAATGAATGATGGAGGAATAAATTTTTTGGTTAGTATTGTTTCTATATTGAAACTGAAATCTAATAACTAATAATACCCCCCCCCCCCCCCGGCCTGTCCTCCCACCACCGCTAAGTGAGACATGGCCCTCTGGTGGCTGAAACCTTTCCATTAATGCTTTGAAAACATTTCAGTCTTACTTGTTTCGAACTCAAGAATTATGATAGCACAGATTTTTATCTTCATAGAATAAAGCCGTCTTATGCTTTAAAAGCTAAATTTTTCTTGTATTTTCATGATCTATGTGAAAGTTTTGATGTGAAATTTTGTTCCAGTACAGTCGAATGTCTTCTGCAGAATGGAGCTACTGTATCTGCTTTCGATGATCAAGGATTCACGCCAATTCATTATGCAACCATGAGAGGACAGATTCCTACACTCAAACTAGTTAGTCTAGATTTTTTTTGTGAAGAGTACTTAAAGAACGACCTTTGAGCTTGAAACTTTTTGTACGAAGAGCCTAACTTAATGCTTTGTTTTGCAGCTTCTTCAGAAAACTCCTGAGCGCCTTATGTACAAACTGGATCAGGACAACTACATATCACCACTGCACTTAGCTGTAAGCAGACTGCTAAGAAAATGATATCGGCCCTTTTTTGCAACTTGCAAGTAGTAACACTTGAACATGGAAAGTCATGTTCGACTGACTAAACTAAGTACTGGATAAGGAGATTAGCGGCAAAATTGTGCGAGAAATCATCAAATAAAAAAATGCTAGACACATGTGCATGCAAAGAAATGTAAAGAAATAAGCATCCTTGAAAACATCGCACATTGAAAATTCAATCGACATACAGAAATTGATATTGAAAGTTGCTCAATAGTTATTTACACGTCAGTTAGTGTCCTTGTTGTTTTCTCAAAATGGGATTTGTTGTTTTATTTTAAGGAACAAGCATTTGGCGGAGCCTTCATCGTATTGATAGTTTTGTCCGAGTCTCCTTTTTGTTTAATTTAAAAGTATATTGTCGGTATTTCGGTAATTTAATTTTCTTTCTTGGACTTCGTAGGCATATCACGGCCACGATGAAGTGCTCTCGATGCTGTTGGAGTACTATGACAAGAATGTGAACGTGAGGGACCCAATGGGAAGGACTCCCCTCACTCTGGCTGCTCTGAGGGGCAACCTCAACTGCGTGGAGACGCTTCTCATCCAGGGAAATGCCACAGTGCTAACTTACGACTCAGTGTCTTGCAAAACTCCATATCATGCAGCAGGTTTGTAAGAGTTGAAAGGTCATCGAAGTTAATCATTTGAAGCCTCCAAACACAACTGAACACAAATATTTATTCGCAAACATCAAGTTTAAAGATAAAAATTTGATGCAGTAAAAGACAAATGTTGCCTCAGAAAATTGAACGTACAAATGACCGAATCAAAGGGTTTTAAAAATTGCAGGAATATGTATTACTGGTAGTGATGGAACTTACTACACTAGTGAAGCAGTGTGCTATAATGCGAGGCTTTTTTATTGTGCCATGAATTGTCATTAAGTTTTTGTTATTGAGCCTTACGTCAAAATTGCGTGCGTGTGTTACAGCCTCCAATGGCCATGCGAGTTGCCTGCGTCTGCTGATCAAGAATGCAGAGAGTCCCGCAGACGTGGACTGTGTGGACAAACTGGGCAGGACTCCACTCATGTACGTCACTGCCCAGGGACACCTGGAGTGCCTCAACATCCTCCTGAACAGTGCGGCCAATGTCAACGTAGTCGACCACAGGGGAAACAGTGCTCTGCATAGAGCTGTAAGTGAATACAGAGGGTGCGAGCGGTTAAGAGATATAATTTCTCGTTTGTGCTAATGGCTGTTGCTTCGAATAAAAATAAGCAGACTTAAAGTTCGTTTCGATTTTGATATGAAATGATATGAGAAACAAAGACTCACTTGTGTTCACACGTGTCGAAACAATCAAATTGATAAACAATAAAGTTTTGCCAAATTATGAACGATAGATTTAAACACTGCTATTGGTTGCTGGTAGCAACTCGTGAAATAGGTCATTAAGGGGGCTATGCGTTTAAGGCTGCTCTTGGCTATGAAGAAATGGTGGAGCCTCTCTTGAAGGCAGGAGCTAATGCTAAATTACGAGGATACAGGGGCAGACTCCCAATACACATGGCTGCCGCTTCAGGACACGCCACTCTAGTACAGACTCTCTTGTCGCATTCGCCTCAAGGTAAGGTTAGGATGATGTATAATAAGATTTCGCTATTAGAAAATATTATTGAATTTAAAAGAAGATGAAAGAAATGATTAGAACACGGTTGATGTATTCTAAGGTGAAATTTGAAAAAATTTGTCTTAGTTGGTCTGAGTTTTTCCGATTTTGAGACAAAATTCCTTGCAGTTTGATGTCACTAACTCTTTATGGGTCACTCAATTTACTTCTTCTGTAACTTTTTAAGAGTAATGAACGTAGTGAGTACTCTTCTATAGGTCTTGCCGGTTTTTTTTCAGGGAAAAGTCTTAAAATTTGTTCACGCTGTTTTGATTTTTTTGCCGTTTGACTTGTGATTTCTTTTCAAGTTCAGTGCATTTCCATTGTTTACACAAGCAACGCTTGTGTTATAGTAAGAACTTTTTTTTCTTGTTGCGACGCAAATTTTGTTGCGACAAAATGTGTTCACTTTGAAAGTGTTCATTTTATCAATAACCAACTATTAAGTACAGCCAATGCTAAGGATATTAACACAGACTATTGTATCACAAATTGAACTTTAGCTTCAAGGTATCATGGATCTGTAGCGTAGAGGTAAGGAATGAGACCAGCAACAAAAAAGAGGGTTCGAACCTGGGCAGGCTCGGATGTTTTTAATGAACTTTTTCGTATAGTAGTTAAAATGCGTCCGCTCTATAAGTTGAGGCATGTTAGTTGGTAAGTTTCATTTTTTTTCAAATTGACTGGTACGGCTAATGCGTCATAATTAGCGTGCGTCACTAATGAAATTTTGTAGACTCAAATTTTTACTCGTTCAGTTTTTCCAAATAGCGTTATCGGTGATATTTTTGCTTCAAATTTTTACTCATTCAGTTTTTCCCAATAGCGTTATCGGTGATATTTTTGCTTGTTTGTGCAAAGTGCAACTTCGCCTCTGTTAAAAGGAAGGCAAACAACACTATCGAACAGCAAAAGTGTAAAGGTCACGAAATAAAAGTTTGATCCAGTTTTCTCAAATTAGGTTAGTTTCAACAAAAAGGTGTCCATCATAAATTTTTTTACAAATTTAAAGAGCGTTAAGGTCATCCAATTGTTTTCTTCGAAATGTAAATGTTCAAGGCTCTTGAAAAAACAAGTCAGTTTTTTCAGTTTCCTTTCGTTCATTACGCTTTTCCAACTGTTAGTTGGCTATTTTTATCTTGACTGTAATTACCCCTTTTTGTGCAATTCATTAGCTAGTTTGATCGCTCCTTGCTAAAAGAAAAAGAAATACATAGATAAAATTGAAATAAATTTTTGAAATAAAATTTCTCAAATTAGGTTAGTTTCAACAAAAAGGTGTCCATCATAAATTTTTCTACAAATTTAAAGAGCGTTAAGGCCATCCAATTGTTTTCTTCGAAATGTAAATGTTCAAGGCTCTTGAAAAAACAAGTCAGTTTTTTCAGTTTCCTTTCGTTCATTACGCTTTTCCAACTGTTAGTTGGCTATGTTTTAGCTTGACTGTAATTACCTCTTTTTGTGCAATTCATTACCTAGTTTGATCGCTCCTTGCTAAAAAAAAAAGAAATACATAGATAAAATTGAAATAAATTTTTGAAATAAGTTTTCTCAAATTAGGTTAGTTTCAACAAAAAGGTGTCCATCATAAATTTTTCTACAAATTTAAAGAGCGTTAAGGCCATCTAATTGTTTTCTCCGAAATGTAAATGTTCAAGGTTCTTGAAAAAACAAGTCAGTTTTTTCAGTTTCCTTTCGTTCATTACGCTTTTCCAACTGTTAGTTGACTATGTTTTATCTTGACTGTAATTACCTCTTTTTGTGCAATTCATTACCTAGTTTGATCGCTCCTTGCTAAAAGAAATACATAGATAAAATTGAAATAATTTTTTTTATTTCGTTTTCGGTGGTAAATCATGATGGTCGGAACATTCTCTTATTCTTGCATTGTAACTAGCTATCTTTTTTGTTCCCACCATTGAAAATTGAGAGGAATTTTGTATATGGGTGTGTTTTATTTATTTTTTTTTGTTCCGACTATTGAAAATGGGGAGGAAATTGCATTAAAGTGTTTTTTTTAACTTTCATTTTTTTGTACGCAAAATCAGGTACCACAAAAAATCATCGTACTGGGTCTAGTGATATATGCAATTGAAGCCCTTTCAGTCATGGTTTGGACGACATAAAAACATTTCCAAAAAGTACTATTGTTTTTTATAGTATTTTGTTGTTTTTTGTAGTCTTTTTTTTTCTTTCAAAACTGTTGTCCTATTTGTCTATTTTACTATCACTGTCGAATATGCCTACGTTCTTGTTTTTTGTTCAGATCTTTTTATCACACCACCCAGAAAAAACGAACCTTATTTGAAATTTTTTTTGTGTGTTTAAACTATGGCCGGAACATTATGTGCTACTTGCACAGTAACCAGCTAATCCTTGTTTTTATTTTGTTATGAATTATATTGAGTTAATATTTTATAGAAGATTTGATGCTGGACAATGATGGGTTCTCACCCATGCACTGGGCCGCTTTTAACGGGTTCGAAAGCTGCCTCGACGTCTTAATGCATACAGAAGCTTCACCGGGGACCTCTCTCACTTCCAAGGAGTCGCCCTATTCAGTCGAGATGGGACTGAAAAGAGCTAACTTGATCACGCAGTATTTCACACAGGGGACAACCACTCCCTTGCACTGTGCGGCATGTCAGGAAAATGTGTCTTGCTCACAGATGCTGATCGAGAAGTTCGGAACAGACATTTTGTTGCTGAAGGACGCTAAAGGAAGGTGATAACTGGTTAAATTGCATCAAGTAGATTGTAAATAGTGTTTAAGGACACTGTATGTAAAGAAGAATCTTATATAAGTCTTGAATTTTTTTTTTGTTTTGTTCATAGAAAAGTCTTAAATTGCTCTAACTGCAGATTAATGCATTTATGAATGCACTTGGGTATATATGCACTTTTTGAGTTCAATTGAAATCAATCTGCTGAAAGATAGGTAAATAGCACTATTCAATAACGAACGCGGAAATGGCGCGAAAAAACGTGAACGACTTCTACTTTTGAAAGTGGAATTTAATTTTTTTTTTAAAGGTGAACGACTTCTACTTTGAAAAGTGGAATTTAATTTTAATTTAATCTTGCGGAAAAAACTATCTTGTTTCAGTTGTCTCAAATAGGAATATTTTTTTTTCAAAAAAACACCAATCAAAAATTGTTCTCGAAATTCTAATGGCATATGTTTTTTCTTTAAATTCGAAGCATGAAGTTTTTTCAAAAACATGTCAGTTTTTTTCTGCTTCCTTGAGTTCATTACTTTTTTTCAACTGTCAGTTGACTATGTGTTTACATTAGCGAGCAGCGTAGTGCATTAGTAATTATCTTCTTCTTTTTCTAACCTAACTCGCAACTAAAAGTGTCGACTAATATGTGACACTTTTGCTATCATCACGATCTGTAGCATTGGAGTTTTCATAGCATCTGTTCTCTGCTTTAATTGTGGCTAGTGTTTGTGATTTACTGAGAGTCCGTGGCTGAGTGCTTAGTGCTTGAGACTCGTAATCTCTAATTAGGTCGCAGGTTCGAATACAAGACGACGTAGCCGAGTTTTTACTAACGCGAGGCTTATTTCTACTTTTTCTTATTTCAATTGATGGAGCTACTTATCGGCCGTGTTCTAGCAAGTGTTTGCGAAGCGCAGCTTCTCTGTGTAAAGGAAAGGCAAACTCGACTATCGAAGAGCAAAAGTGTTAAGGTCATGAAAAACCTAACTGACTTCTAGTTTCGAAAGTAGATTTGATTTTTTAAAGGTAATGAACGTAGTGAAGACTCTTCTATAGATCTTGCTGAGTTTTTTGTTTCGTTTTTTTTTCAGGAAAAAGTTTTAAAATGTTGATGCACTTAGGTTTAATGCATTTTTTGAGTTTTATTGAAATTTATCTGCTGAAAGTGACGTAAATAGCACTCTCCAAATACGAACGCGGAAATAGCGCGAAAAAACGTCAACGATATCTAGTTTCGAAAGTGGAATTTTGTTTTTAGATTTTCAGCGGAATAAAACTTTAATTTTTGGTCCAGTTTTCTCAAGTTGGGTTCATGTTATCAAAATAGTGCTAATCATAAATTGTTCTAGAAATTCATAGAGCTGAATGGGCTTCTATTTATTCTTTGAAATTCGAAGGTTGAGATTTTTTCAACAAAGTCAGTGTTTTTTTTATATTTACTTGTGCGTGCATTACTCTTTTCCAATCTCCGATTGGCTATGTTTCAGAATTCCCAGCGGAATTTGGTTTTTTCGGTTTAGTTTTTCGCGATTTGAATTTTAAGGTTTCTCAGCGGAATAAAAAATTAACTTATTGATCCAGTTCTCTGAAATTGGGCTAATTTTTATCAAAAAAGTGTCAATTATAAATTGTTCTACAAATTCAAAGATCTTTAAGGCCAATTTTTTTTTTCAAAGTTCAACAGTTGAAGTTTTTTCTTTCCTTGAAACTCGAAAGTTGAGATTTTTTGTTTCCTTGCGTCCATGAAGCTTTTTGAACTGTCTGTTGGCTATGATTCTTTTCCAATTCTCTGTCGGCTATGTTTATCATATTATATTCAGATGAATTTCGATTTAAGATGTTTTTGAAAGCTGCGATTGGGTAGTATATTAAAGAAATACAGTTGAATGAAAATTCCCTTGGATAATGAATTTAAAAGATCATCAGCTAGTTTTTCCTTTTCTTTTTTTTCAATGAAAATTCATTGGAAAAGGTTAAAATTACATTTAGATTTTAGATGAAGCGTTCCAAAGTAATTTAGTTTTTTTTTTGCTTAGGTTGCCGATCCATGCAGCGGTGTACTCAGACAGCTATGAGGTGCTAATGAACTTCCTTTGTTTCGAACAATTGCACGACCGGATGCTTAATGCGAGAGACGCTGGGGGCAATACTCCCCTCATGTTGGCAGCTCTCTCCGGAAAAGTCAACTCTATCCGTAAGAACTTTATAACTTGTATAATGTTTTTGCTAGAGCTCGATATTCATTTATTTTAGTGTGTATTTGAGATCCAAATATGTAGAATTGCTCATAAAACAGTTTCCAAGTTGTCTTCATCATTGTGAGCTGTGAAAATAGATTTTTTGGCTTTGAGTTCTAACAAATCCATCTATAACTTATCACCAAGTCAAGTGTGGATAGATTACTAACATAATTGACCACTCTTACTGTCAGCAACATGATCTCTTTAACTATATCCCCCCTTCGGGTACCTTGTTATGAATACCCCCTATAAAGAAACAAATCAGCGGTTAAGCATTAGATAGTTTTAAACCTAGTAACGAATATCCACCCTTTTGCAAAAGGGCGGTATAGTTAAAGAGACCCTCGCATTTTCGGTCCTTAATTTAGAAAGCGGAGAAAGAAAAAAGAGTAAAAATTTCAGGATAAATTAAGATTTGCCATTTTTTCTCCCCGTTTTCAGAATTGCTAATTGAGAGCGAGAGTGTTGATATGGACTTGTGTAATGAAGAGGGGGACACTGCTCTCCATTTGGCATGTGCCAGTGCATTTGCCAACTGTGCCGACCTCCTTCTTCCATCGGACGAGGTCAACATTGACTACTCTACGGTTGATGTACACGAATACAAGGTCAGTAATTTTCAGTAATTTTATCAGGGGTATAAAAACCGCTTGATGTGTAGAACAGTCATATTACGCAGTAGTTTCATTACAATCATTAACACTTGTTCAAAAGTTGAGTAAAGAAAAATGATCGAAACTAAGACTTCGACTGACGTTTACGTAAGTACTCAATTGTTAACAAGCGGAGCGTAGTGCGATACTACAATGCTATTTTTTTCCAAGCTAAGTCGCAAACATAAGTGCTACTTTTGTTTGATGGCATGTTATGTTTGTGTGGTGCCGCTTTTGGTGCAAAGCTCCAATTCGTCCCTGTGCATAAACGGGTGCTAGAGATTTTAGCAGACCGATTTTTTAGCTGACCAATCTTTTAGCAGACTCAGAGCAATTATAAAGTCAGATAGCTAACTTCAAACGCGGCAATGGCGATTAGCGACCGCTTGATGCACGCTTCAATTCAACACCATTGTTACTGTGCGAGTAAATCTTTGTTTTGCCGCTAATTGTTCCGACTTTCGAAGAAAACGGAAAACTTATGCTCGGTGTGGTTTTTTTATTCTGTCAATTTTCACCGATCGAAATAATAATTTTCAACAATAATTTTTTGTACGCCATTGAAGATATTGACTTATTGAGTTAAAATGTAAAAAGATATTTCACTTCGGAATATATTTTGTAAAGTTCTTGGGGTTTAAAAATTGCCAAAGTTGCCATGTTCTGCACTAAATTATGCGCGCTTTGAAGAGTTTATTCATAATGCTGAGAGCGTAACGCGAATTATTTATGCGTGACGAATTATCCCGCACAACAAAATCATTCCAAATTGAATTGAGGCTAGCTAATTGGTGGTCGTATTAATTTCGTACCACTCAAAATTTTACACTTTGATATTGTCCAAAATGTATTAGGTTTCCAATATTTGATGTTCCCAAAAACTATTCTACATGAATTAAGGGACAGTCGGAACATTCAGGGCTTTGCCCTGATATACGAGCAGTCTTGTTTGGACTTTGTGTTTTTGAAGTTGATAGTTTTGTTGACAAATCGTGAGATGATTGTCTTAATTGGGGAAGCTTGGGCCCCAGACTCAGCGTCTTTTTGAGTCAGTCAATCAATCATCCATCATTTTATTACGTTGATCTGCTAAAAGACTCATTTTCCAGTTTTTATGCTAAAAGATAGGTCTGCTAAACTATCGGTCCCCCTATAAAACTAAAGCATTCTTGGGTAATATTTGGATCAGATGTTTAATAAACGGTGGCTTAACGTTATCTTAAGCGTACGAAGATCAAATTTTGGCACAGCTAGAATTTCGAAAGTACCCATATTTCTAACGACAGCGATTTCATCGAAATTTCACTTATTCTCATCGAAATTTCACTTATTTAATCGAAATGGTTCTTATTTAACTTTTATTTCATATAGTTACCCAATAATGAACGCGATTTTTAAACTACTGTTTAAATAACGATTGCGATTTCGGAACTCCGGCAAAACTACCTAAAAATCCTGTTTTTGCACGTGTTATTCAAAGTGGGTGAAAGTAATTCAGATTCTTATATAAATCGCGATGATTTTCTTTTTCGTTCCTTTTTCAGGTAAAGTCTTAAAATTTGTTCAGGCTCAAATTTATTTTTTTTGCGGTTTCAGTTTTGATTTCTTTTTAAGTTCAGTACATTTCCATTGTTAAAAGGAAGGCAAACTCCACTATCGAACAGCAAAAGTGTAAAGGTCACGAAAAACGTGACCGACTTCTAATTTCAGGGTGGAATTTAATTTTTAGATTTCCCAGTGAAAAAAACTACCGAACGATCCAGTTTTTTTCAAATTGGGTTAATTTTATCAAAAAAAAATCAAACAGATATTGTTTTAAAAGCTCAAAGACTTATAAGGTCATCTTTTTTTTCTTGGAAATCATGATTTTTTTTTCTGTTTGCGTTCATTGACTCTTTTCCAATTTAACTGTTGGGTATGTTCTGAGTTGAGATTTTTTTTTTGGAAAACCACGATTTTTTTTGCCCGAAGCAAATAGTTTGAGCTGATTCTTAGCCTCGAAAATTAACGATTGTAGCCGAAATTTGACGTTTTCATGGTGCAGTTTGTTCCCGAATAAGAAGGCTGACATTGCTTGATAGTTGATACCTTATTTGAAGCTATTTAAAACATCATGTTTGCTTGTTTTTTTTGCTCATTACGATAATCAGATACTATTGAGCGGCAGTGGATTAGAGAGGCTGTAGCCCAGAGGTGCAGCGCGCGGCTCTTAACATGAGGGTCATGGGTGTGATTCCCACTTCGTTTCCGGTTGCAGGGTTCTTAATGTCATCAGCCTCCTCCAGATAGGCCCTACAGTGGGTTGAGCTGGTGCAAATGAAAAAAAAAACACATAACGAATTTTTTTCTTTGAAGCCGTCATTTTTCGTGAACGTGAGGAAAGCGAAGGGTTATCAGATGTCTGATCTTCAGAACACTCAATTAATAAAACATTTTTTTGTTTGCAGAAGTAGAGGGGTCAGTAGATAACCTATCACATATGATTTACATCTGTTTTGTAGTTATGTTCAAAATGTATTAAGTAGTATTTCAACTGTGGTTTTGTGTTTTTCCAGGTAGCTCGCCTGTTCAGTCAAAATAGTGCGGGTGAGACTGCGTTGCATTTGGCTGCCAGGAGATCCCTTGTGACTATAGTGCAGAGACTCGTAAAAATGGGTGCTTCCCTCCTAGTCCACGACAAGAGCGGTAATCACTTTCTAAGTGCTCATTTATTTGGTGGCACTTTGCAGCATTATATTTTATGTCGTGTTTACTTTTGCAAAATTACTTTGTTTACAATAGAAAACTATGGCTTGAGAAGTCCGAACTTGATTCCGGTATTATCAGTTGATTTGAGTATTTTTTGGGTATTTTTTCTTTCGTTTTTTTTTGCGTTTGTTTGCTGCAAAGTGCAACTCCGTCTTCGCTTCAACCTTCTATTGACATTTTTTGTTTGAAAACAAATAAGCGAAAATGCTGATGGTTAAGATCAAGTGTCAATGAACAAAGCGAAGAATATTTAGGTCTTGTAGTTTTTTTCAGGAAAGAGTAAACTTGGATCACGCTAAAATTGCTGACTTTTGGCTGAGTTGAATTCAAATTAATTCGATGATAAAAGACCAATTTTGCCTTTCAAATAAGAAAGTGGAAATGGTGCAGAAAAACGTGACTAAAATAAATTTCTAAAATGATGTAAGTTTTTGTGTAAAAGAATGAAGTGATTTTCATTTATATTGGATTTTTTTTCAAGTAAGTCTGAAATTTGTTCCCGCTGATTTTGTCCTGGTTTGACCCTTTGATTTCTTTTAAGTTGTGTTTATTTCCTTTGTTAAAAGGAATGTAAATTTCACTATGGAACAGTAAAAATTTAAGGTCACGGAAGACGTGAATGACTTCTATTTTCAAATTAAGGCTTTATTTTTCTGAATTGTATCACAGTTTCGGAGGTGCAGATCTGCATGCTGCTGAAACAACATGAGTTTCAATTGACCTATTTTGTTATAATAGACTTAAGAGTATTTTCTGTTATCTACATTGAAGGCTTCTGTGAATCCGAAAATAAGATATTGATTATTTTTGCCATAAATTAGTCAAAGTAAACAGAGTTATTACTAAGTACTAATGTCTATTTGCGATGATATTCAACGTTTCAGGTTACACGCCAGCCTTAGCTTGTTGCCAGACTCAGGAGGCAGCCAGTTGTCTCCAGCTAATTTTAGAAGCACTCCTTCCAGGAGTGAGTGCAGCAGGAACGGAAAGCGAACTAGGTCATCCCTCGGAGGACCCTGGATCAGATATAGAAGAGGAAGAGTCGATATCCAGAGGCGTGGTCAGGGTCGAATATTCGGACACCGAAAACAGTATTGACTCCGAAACATTCTAAAGCTTTACTTCTACAGGGATATGTTTGCCAATTATAAGCTTACAATTGGAGTATTTGAAATAAAGAGTTCCTTATGCCTTAGAACTATGATGAAATCGAAGGTAGTTTATAGATGAGATATTATATAGTTTGATTCTTGAGTTCTCATAGTTTAAAAATACACTATAATTGAAATTGGATGTAAAATGTACAAATGATGCAATGTTGAGGTGTTGATTCTGGCTCAAGCATGTCAGATTGCTTCAGCAACTAATGTGCTCGATTATATTGCAAAACAGTGATCAGAAATTGTCAATTCTAAAGCGCAGTCTGATTTGCTGTGCTTTCTAAGAAGCAGTGCTTTCCAAGAAGCAACGAGTGCTTTCTAAGAAGCAACAAAGCAATGCCGGAACATGTGTGGAGCTTAAGGTTAATAGGATGTATTCATACATGATTAAAACTAGCACATAAACGACCACATGCTAACTAATTTCCAAAAATTGAGTATTATTTCTAATTTGGATTTAAACTTTGAGTTTGAAATTGAAACTAAAATTTTGTCACTGAGTTTGAAACTAAAATCAGTATGATGGTGTGTGTTAGACCTAGAAATAGGGTGTTGCTCCAACTTATATCTTTTCCCACCTTAACCAAATTAATGAATCATATCGATCTGGCGCTAAATGTGTACCATAGTTCTGTCTGCTAATAGTATTTGTAAATCATCTTTTCCAAGCTAGCTATGTTACGTCGATCAATTCAAGTTTTCACTATCCAACTTTTTTCTCTGCGCCAGAGAAAAAACTAAAAATTAACATCCTTGTCGCGGATTCTACGACAAGTTTTGTTGCGGAATCCATTAGCGGCCGATTCCGCAGTTCTTTGCTTTACCGCAGCCTGGCCGCGTACTGTATTGCGTGAAGTTTTGTATTGCGCGACCAAAATAGATCCGTATTCCAGCGAAACAACTGTATACTGAGAGTGTATTACAGAAGCAGCGTTTTTATTAAGAGTAATGAATGTAGTGTAGACTCTTCTATAGGTTTTCGTGATTTTTTTGTTTTTTTTTGCAGGATAAAATATTAGAATCCGTTTACGCTCAATTTTGATTTTTTGTTGTTTGGTTTTTGTTTTCTTTTTATCCTTGCAATAAGCAAGGGTATTGCGATCGGGTTTTGGAATTTTTTCCGTAAATAACTTTGTTCACAGGATTCCAATTTTAAGATGTCGCATAGTTGAACGTCAGCACAAGTTGCATGTTTACAGCTGGTCTAGAGCTACTGGAGCGATACTGCGTCTACTGATGAAACAATTTTCAAAATTAAATAAATTTTTTGTCTGCTTTTTTGATTTCGTCCCACTTTTTGTCGGCTTACTTGCCGGGTGTTTAATTTCTGGTAGATTCCTTTCTTGGTAGATTCCTTTCTCGTTCTTCATTTTCAAGAGGGTAATTATAAATCTTTGTTTTCTGGTTTTTTACCGACAATTTTTCTATTAAAGAAATTTTAAAAAATTGCATTAAATTTTCGTTTTTTTCGAATGCATGGCTTCTGGTTACTTTTCAATCTAAAAGCGCGTGGAATCAGTGGGTTTTTTTGTTGTTGTTTCAGGCTTGAGAAATTTTATTTGAATAAATCGATGCAAACTGATCGGATATCGTTTGTTTAGAAAGGTGAAAAAAAAATCGAAATTTTTTTTGCAATTTTCTTTTGACTGTTTTTTCTTTTGACTGTTTTGTCTTTTGACTGTTTTGTCTTTTGACTGTTTTGTCTTTTGACTGTTTTGCGAAGGAATGTGGCGAGTGCCGCAAATTATTCAGGAGTGTGGTTCTCTCACTTGGAAATGAATTTTCGTGTTTCTTTATTTCCTATACGGGCGTCTTTTTTATTATATGTTTTTTTTTGGTGTGACTCAGCTATCTTAACGTTGCGTACCATTTGTACCCTTGCGATAAGCAAGGGTATTGCAATTGCGTACTAGATTTTCCCCTGTTGGTAACTTTGTTCACAGAATGGTCAAAATTAGAAATGGTAAATTTAGGTTCAGTTTTTAAATGAATTTAAATTTCTTTACGTCCCCGGCACAGTTGAAATAATATGAGCAAACGTGTAAAGCTCAAGAAAAACTTGATCGACTTCTAGTTTCGAAAGTATGTTTTTATGTTCAGATTTCCCTGCGGAATTCAAAATTTACTTATCAATCCAGTTTATTCAAACCGGGTTCATTTTATCAATAGAGCGGCAATCATAAATTGTTCTTGAAAAAAAAGAGCTTCAGGGCTCACAATTTTTCTTTAAAATTCGAAAGTTTCCTTATCAGTTACAAGTCGGTTTTTTTTCGGTTTCCTTGCGTTGAATACTTTTTTCCAACTGTCAGTTGGCTGTGTTTATAATACGAGTCACCTTTTTTACATTTCCTTTCAGTAAAAGCAATTGTTCAATTCGGCCGATGAGTTTTTTCCCTGTAAACAACTTCTTTAACAAACATCTTTTTTCCCTACACATCTTTGTAAAATATTCTCGAGAAAATTTGTCCAGTTTTTCTACCAAAAACTTTTGGTTCGTTTTCTACAATGCCTTACTGACAGTCCATGAAGTGTCCGTATTTTTTCAAAACTTACATTCAGCGTGCAAAAACAACAAGTTTTAACCGCAATTGAAACTGTTTGACGGAATACAAATTGCCATAAACTATTTTTTCAATCATTGGAAACTTGTTTCAGATGAAAAGTTTTTGAGATCTCTATATTTGGCACGATTAATTGGAAAAATAAAGAAGATAGCTCGTTTTTAGTGCTTCTTTTTCGGAATGAATAGTCATAACTTAAATCAAATCCGATTACATTTCAGACAAGTATGAATAACTCGTGTTCTGATAGCAGTTCTGTCAGCTGTTCGTTTCTAGATGACAAGTCTGTGACCTTGAATGATATAACACAACAGAGCATCAATTGTGGAGAATCGAGGCCCACTTACAGGTCGAGGAAACTGTCCAAGGCCAAAACGCCCTCCAAGTGCAAACTGAGGGAGAGGAGTGGAAAAGACATGGGTGGTTCAAAGACACCTAGTAAAGGAACTGGGGATCGATTCATTCCCGATTTGGCCATTTTGGGTAAGAATTAAGATTTTGATTATTTTTTCTATCTACATTGAAGAATTTGAGAAAGCTAAATGATAATAAGGCGAAAAAAAGAATGCCTGAATTTCAATGGAAAATAAATGTAGTCGGTCGGTTCGCTAAGCAAGTGGCACAATAAAAAATTTTTCAGGATTAGAAATAGGCTGTCCTCTAAATCGATACTCAAGTTAAATTTAAATCTGAAAACAATGTTTACGACTAAGTTTTCTCTACTAAGAATTCGTTGGATTTCTTTTGAAAAGGAATTAAGACCAAAGGGTTTTAATGATTATACTATTTTTGCTATAGTTCCTTGTAGACATGTTCTAGCCATGTTACTTTGGATTAATCAGGTAAAACAGTACAAAAAACTTCAAAATTTCAAAACCTTTCAGCAACCGCCTATCTTTGCTATGTTTGTGTCTAATATGTTTGGACGAAGATACCATTATAGATTGGTTTTGTTAAACCGACCATTGAAAATGGGAAGGAACTCAATTTTCACACGCAAAATCAAGTTTCACAATTAATAAACTTTGTTTCCAGGTTCCACAATTTTCCCAGTGTTGAGAAAAACGGGTTTGAAATTTTTAAATTTTGGGTTTAATTGTATTCGAGAAATTTTAGGTTTACTCGAGCAAAGTTTTTTTTGGAGATTTTTAGCGCCGTTTTGGGAATCAAAAATTGCGAAAATTAAAAAAATTCAGCAAAAACAAATTTTTATGATTTTTTTTTTTGTTTTTCTAGTCATTTTTCTACAAAAAACTGTTGTCCAAATTCCCTGTTTTATTATGAATAACGAGTATTTACTGAGTTCTAGTTTTTCGTTCGTATCATTTTATCACACTACGCAGAAAAACTACACTAAATTTAACAACAACTTTTGTGTTATTTAAGACTATGGTCGGAACATTGTGTGCTGTTTACACACTACGCGGCTATCCTTGTATTATTATGTCTTTGGTTTCAAGCTTTTTTTTCGTTTCTGTAGGCAATGAGGCTGTCCATTTCAAACTCGTGCAGGAACAAAAAGCGAGAGAAGAAGTTGGGCTTGATAACACCACATCTGAATCTGAACAAAGTAATATTGGTGAAACAGATGGTCTAGACAACCAAGAAAGATTCAACATTCTTACCGACGGCCTAGACGAAAAGGTGAAAATATTAAATTTAGCCAATCAAAATGGAGTTAAAGGAACAGCGCCTAAAACTGGGTTCGTCTGCTCGTCGCAGAAATTAACGCTAACTAAGTCGAAGAGACATATTCCAGCGGCTCCGGTGAAAACTTTGGACGCTCCTGATTTGAGCAACGATTTTTACCTCAATTTAATGGATTGGTCAGGAACTAACTATTTAACGGTTGCTCTCGGCAACGGTGTATATATGTGGAACGCTTCAAGTGGAGACATTGTTGATTTAGTTGAACTTGACGATAATCTAACGGTTACGGCTGTACGTATTCACGATCAAAGCAAGTACATTGCAGTCGGAGTTTCAGACGGGTCTGTCTTGATTTTCGACTCGGAAACGAAGCAAAAAATACGCTCCCTCCGTGGACATTCGCAACGTGTGGCATGTCTAGACTGGAATGGACCCATGCTTTGCTCAGGATCAAGAAGTGGCAATATTTTAACCCACGATACAGTATCGCCGAGTAGGTCCCCCGTTCATATGCTAGCTGGTCACACACAAGAGGTATGTGCGCTGAAGTGGAATACAGAGAAGAAGCTTCTAGCAAGTGGTAGCGCAGACGCTTCTGTGAAGATTTGGTCCCTAGAGGAGGGAGCTGCTGCTGGAAGTTCAAGTGGTGACGAGAGGTTCTTGATCAATACTTTGAATGGACATATTGCAGCTGTGAAAGCGATGGCCTGGATGCACAATTCTTCTAATTTCATAGTTACCGGCGGAGGTAAGCAAGAGAACGCAGATTATTCGTGGTTATTTTAGTAATACTTGCTGAGCTTGCTCTTAGATAGTGAAAACAGTTGTACTTCTGAGCTGTTTTTTTTTAATGGAAATTTAGGATCATGCAGAATAAAAAACGCATGCTTAATGAAGCGGATTTTCAAAAAAATGTTTTCTTGGTCGAACAAATGGATTTTTCAAGCTCTCCTAAAGCGCTAAAAAGACGCTGTTTTGGCCAAGTTTTCTGCTCAGCAGGCAAATTTTTTAAAAAAACAGGTAAAAAAAAATTGGAAAATTTTGACAAAAATTAAAAAACCGGTTAAAAAAATTGTTTTTTTTTTGGCGCGCGCTCCCCCGTAGTATATATTGGCGCCAAAGACGCCTCTAGAAAAATTTTGGGATCGGTCGGCCAAAAATGGATTTCTTAAAAAGTACAAAAAGGGGGACCTGCTGGCCTTTATGGGATGATGTGAAGCTGTAACCCATTTTTGCGTGCCTTAATAAAAATTTAATTTCATTATTTATAGCAAGGTTCGTATCAAAAGCTGCAATCACCTTGTGATAGTGTTTCTCTGCCAGATAAAAAGCTTGATTTTTAGGATCGGCTGACAGATGCATCAAATCGTGGAATGTGACATCTGGGAGATGTGTAAAGACAGTAGACACCGGAGCCCAGGTGACCCAGCTGGCCTTCAGTACCCACTATGACGAAGTCATATCTGCACATGGACTGCCCTCTAATGCTCTTTGCATCTGGAAGTACCCATTCCTTAGCAAGGTCTGCCTGTTATTTATGATTTTTACAGTGTGCTTAACCCTCAACCTCTGCCGAACTTACTTAAGAAGAAAATATAGAAAAAACTGACGCGCTAGGGGTGAAGATCTAATTGGATTTTCCTAACTGCCAGTATTTCACAGCTTTCTTCAGCAACACCCGGACATGAGAAAGCAAATGGGAGCTATGGTTTATCAATCTCAAAGGCATAAAAAATTATCGTTGAAACTCATAACACCCCAGGCTTATGGCTGGAAATTTTCGTAGCCAAAATATGTAATCATGTGTTGACCTATTTAGTAAGATCGTAGGTCCATTGTTGTTGAAGTAAACTCGTGGCGTTTAATTTGAACTCAACTGTAATGATAAGAATGATAAGCTCAATATCAAGAAGGTGCAGAAGAAAAAGCCAAGAATGGTCAGGAGTTGTAGGGTGTGTAAAGTTGCAATTATAACTAATTATCACCATCACCAATTAATTATAACTAAATAGTGATGAAACAGGAATTAGAGTAGGCTAGAGGATAGAGCTGAGTAAACCTTAGAATGAACAAGTTGTTGCTGCTAAAAAAGAATAGTTGGTTCTCTGGGAGAAAGAAACTTGCTTAAGGGAGAATAGTTGTTTCTGCACAGAAAAAAGTTCGTGGAACTTGAGTGGTTTATTGCTTCTTGAGTCCTATAGCAAGAGCAGTTTTTTCTGAGCAAACAAAAGTTAGTAGAGCAAGTCTTGGACCATTGATTAAATTGATAATCCTACTTGTGTTTTTGGCTCAGATGGGAGGCTCTTCGGTTGATATTGATGATTAATGAACTATCTGCTCCGGCCGAAATTGTGATTGTCGCAAAAGACAGCCTGCAGCGCACCACAAGCGGGCATCAGCAAAGTGCAATAACAAGAGTCAGATGCTTTCCAAGTAGCAAAAAAAACGTTTTGGCGACGTTAAAAAACTTAAAACGTTTTTTTTTTTATTTGCTGTGTGTGGCGTGAAAAGCAGAATAAAATACGAAGTCTTATTATTTCAATAATTAATCGACTACGGTTTTCGTCAATAATTGAATAAGAAAAAAATTTTTTTAAATTATTACTGACGAGCAAGCGATGTATGAAGCTCCGAAAATTACGACCGGCCTTTAATGTGATATATCATTCGACACATTCTGAGGGTTGTTTGTTGGACCTTCATTTCCGTGGAAAGCAAACTGAAACATACCCGAAGGCCTAGTTCCATTCCACTTCCAGTGGGAACAATTAAAGATTTTAGATAAAACTGCGTGATAATTGCCCCGCATAGCGCGTTGTAAACGGGAGGAAACCTGTGATGCGTTTGAGCCATTCAGAAAACGTCACCAAAAAGAGAAATGCCTGAAGTCTGCATATTTTACGAAAAATGATTGTAAGTATAGTTCTGTATTGATTATAGTTCGGTCATTTTCAATCTACTGAGTCAGATTAACTGACATTATCTTAACTATGATTGTAAGAACTAAACTTGACTTCCAATAGGAATGATTAACTTGTTTCATATGGACGAATTTAAAATAGAATAAAGATAGCCAGTTGCTGTGCAAGTATGACCAAAAGTTGGACCACAAGAAGCTTGGAAAAACTTTTTTTTTGCACTTGCGAAGCGAGTATTAGTGCAAACCTTCTTTCTTTTCCAACCTAAGTCGCAAATGTTGGTGCGACTTTAAGGGCACCTTTACAGCTTTTTCATAGCATGTGCTTTGACATTCGAATACTAATAAGTTGACTCAGTTGATGCATATTTAATTCATCAAATGAAAGGAAAAAAGTGATGTTTCAAACAATATAACAATAATGAAAAGTCGATTTTAGAAATTTTTTAACTCAATTTATCTCACAATTTTTTGAAATGCATAATTTATAGATAATGTGACTTTGTGATTTCCAACTTATTACATTCTAAATTGTTTCTATTTGTATTTGGTGCCACTTTTGCTGATTGGCATTGGCAATTTGTTAGCATATGTAGCTGCTTTATTCGTGACTAGTGTTTGTCAGTTGTTTAGCTTGCGTGGCTGAGTGAATAGTGCGTGAGACTCAAAATTTCTTGATTGCAGAATGTCGCAGATGCGAATCATACACGTAGCCGAGTTTATATAATTCGAAGCTTATTTCTACTTTTTCTTATTTCATTTGATAGAGCTGTTTTTTTGGTCGTGCTCTCGCAAGTGTTTGCGAAGCGCAGCTTGGCCTCTGTCTTTTAGCTTGGAATGATATCACAAGCGTTTGCGCCTTCTTTATTTCTGAACATGATGAAATCAAGCTCCAACTTTCGCGGCTTGACTTCTGATTTCTTTTATTTCTGAACATGATGAAATCAAGCTCCAACTTTCGAGGCTTGAATTCTGATTTCTTTTAAAATTCGGCTCATTTCCTTTGTTAAAAGGATGGAAAAACCACTATTGAGTAAGAAAAGTATAAAGGCCACTAAATCCTGATCAACTTCTAGTTTCGGAATTAGAAATTAATTTTCAGATTTCCCAGTGAAATTAAAAACTTAAATATTGATCCGGTTTTCTCAAATTGGCATAATTTCATGTGTCAATCATAAACTGTTTTAGAAACTCAAAGAGCTGTAAGATCATCTTTTTTTTCTTCGAAAGGTTTTTCAAAAAAATAGCAAGTCTGTGTTTTTTTCTATTTACTTTTTCAACTGTCTGTTGGCTATGTTTTGGTCGTTGTGCGATGAGAGGATCTTAACGAAAGCCTGAACATCATCAGAAATAATCGTTAGTAATAGTAAATATAGTATATTCGACACTAGTGTCCCTCAAAAAATGAATCGAGAAGTCAAAAAACTATCTAAATTTTCAAATATTCTGCCGAAATTTTGTTTTTCTTGAAAAATTTCATAGCAATGAAGACGCTTAAAGAAAGTTTAAACACTAAGTTTTCTCGAGGAAAACTAAATTTCGCGGATTAAATTGAATTATAAGCGTTCTCGCTCATTTTTTTTTTGCGACCAAAATTATTTAAAACTAAAATTGCAAACCGATTTTCTCGACTTAGAATGAGAATTTTTGAAGGTCATTCGAATCACGACTGAAAAGGCTTAAAAATGATAGTTGCTAGAACCATTTTGATGATTATTTGTGGCGGATAAAGTTACTCACCAGGCACTTCTGGTTGACTAACACCCAAAGACAAGTTCCTTGCCACTTTTTGTTGTCAAAACAAAGTTGCTACATGGGGGGAGTGGTGTGTTCATAATAAACTTTAACTTTCAACATGTCTCATCAGGAAAGCGATAGAGAAATGATAAGTGTCCCACCTCGCAGTCGGACGGTCGGTTATTCGAGGCCCACCCTGATCTGTGCTCCTTTCTTGCGAGGGCGAGGCAACATTCTGCGCCCAGGAGAGTAACCAAAAAACTTATATATAGTTGTTTTAAAGGGGAACAACGGCATTTCACTGCAATTAAGTGCATCGCTTGAGTGCTTATGCTTTTCCTCGTAAGTGAGTTGTCTTGAATAATTTTTCGACTAAACTTCGATAGGTGAAGGAACTACATGGACACACTGGTCGTATCCTGCAGATGTGCATGTCGCCTGATGGGGAGATTGCGGCCAGTGCCGCGGAGGACGAGACCATCCGACTGTGGGAGGTGTTCGCCAGAGACAACTCCACAGAGAAGAAATCGAATGCACGAAAAGTGCTGGGCAACAATATGGCTAGACAACCGGAGTCCTCTGCTCTGACGTCATCGCTGCTGATGATGCAGCACCGATAGGAAAATGCTAAATCACTTGCGATTAAAAGTACCGATTTTTTGTTTTACGACTAAAGAAACTGACTATGCAATTGTGTTGAAACAATGAACAAGTCATTCTTCATGAGTACCTTTGTAAAGCTAGACGAGATAAAGCATTACTCTCATATAAAGTAATCTGGAGACATTTTTAGCTGAGCATAAGTTGTTATTATTATTGTGTGGCAATACAATGGAGTTTTTTATTTTTGCTTTTTGATCTGTTTATTTTTTGAACAAACAAAACTGAATTGTAGTGTATTTAATGCTAAAATGATGTTTGTGTGATGTAGTGTGGTTTTTTAATGATGATACCTTGCAACATAGAAACCTGGCAATATTGATTATTGAATATTGATTTGTTTGAGCGTTTAATTAAAAGTTTTGATATCGCAAAAGTTTTAAGTTACTCAAGAGTTGAGACTTATTGAAATAGGCTGTAAATTTCTGGTGGATGAGTAAAAGTGAAAAGTCCGTTCTGAGAGAGACCGGGCGAGCTTTTTCCTGAAGCAAGATGCTGAATAAGTTTCTGTGGTATGATATAACCCGTACGTTTATTATCCAAGCTCAAGTAAGCTTTGGCATGCAAATTGTCGCGTGTGTTTGATTTCTTTTTTAAGACGATTATCCACAAGGGAAAAGACCAACATACGTGCTGTCCAGCTCTTGGCGGATAACCGCTGTTTTTCGGGGCTGAGTAATAATTCTTCGCCCTCAAGCACGAGCACGGATCATGGTGGGCCTCGAACATTCGACCTTTCGATTGAGAGGCCGAGACGTAACCTCTTTACCACCGCTCCCCTAAATTTCGACTTTTAATTCTATGACTGCCTGGCAAGCATCAGTATGACTATTTCACAAAATACATCTAAGCTTAAGGTTTATTGCCCTCTGTATGTTTTAGGCTTCTTTAAAGTTTTCACGAAGCAAGTTGGAAATTTTTAATGAGGTTAATATTATTTTTATAATTTTCAGATGGACTATGAGAAATACAATGAAATTTTCAAGCAGTTACCATTGCGTGAGAAGCCAGCAAAATGGCTGGAACTCTCGGAAGATGGGAATCTCTTGTTGTGTCCTCGACTGCTTGACCTTGTCAAGGATCATTTAGTGAACACGGTCAAAAAACATCCATCGACTGCAGACGAAGTAGTGCTTTGTTGTGTTAAAGCAAGTGTAAATTGCCCTCCAGATTGTAGCAGCAAACTTGACAGTATGTTCCGAGATGTATACTCTGCAATGACGTCCGATATGCGGAATAGGAATCCGTATTTTTGGCTCTGGTGGTCAAAAGTAGTTGCAAACACTAAGAAGAATGATGCTGCAAAAATCAGCGCCAAAGGTCGGTAATTAATTTGTGCAACATTTTAACGGTATTCTTTAAGGATTTCTTCTTCTCGTACTTTTAAAAAACTAGTTAAGTAAAGCTCACTAGAATTTTTTGTTTTTCTTGATTTAAAATTTATAATAAAATTTTAAACGAACTTGAGACGAGCTACGTAATCATCAAAGTTTCTTATCGAACTATTTTTACGCTTGCGAAAGCAAGTTTCTTGTAATCAGGAACTAGATTTTTTCCCGTAAACAACTTTTCTTACACTGAAATTGAAATTACTTTATTAGTGAACCTTAGCAAGTTGGAGACTACTTAACATTTGGCATAAAGGTAACGCGGTTGTCTCTGAATCCTAAGGTCGGGGATTCGAGTGCCTGTCGGGCCTTGTTATTCCGACCATTCGAAAATTGGGAATAACTTTGTATTCGGGTGTGTTTACACAAGCAAAGCTTGTGTGATAGTATGAACCCTAAGTCGCAAATATTGTTGCGACAAAATGTGTTCACTTTGAAAGTGTTCATTTTATCAATAACCAGCTATTAAGTACAGCCAATGCTAAGGATATTAACACAGAATATTGTATTTTAAATTGAACTTTAGCTTCAAGGTATCATGGATCTGTAGCGTAGAGGTAGGGAATGAGACCAGCAACAAAATAAGAGGGTTCGAACCTGGGCAGGGTCGGATGTTTTTAATGAATTTTTACGTATAGTAGTTCAAATGCGTCCGCTCTATAAGTTGAGGCTTGTTAGTTGGTAAGCTTCTTTTTTTTCAAATTGACTGGTACTGCTAATGCGTCATAATTAGCTTGAGTCTCTTAGCAATTGTTTAGACTCATAATTGGCGTGCGTCACTTAAGAAATTTTGTAGAATCAAAGTTGTACTCATTGAGTTTTTCACAGTAGCGTTATCGGTCATATTTTGCTCGTGTATGCGAAGTGCAACTTCGCCTGTGTTAAATTTTTTTCTTTGTTTTCCACGCAAAATCAGCTATTACAAATAATAGTCGGAGAGAGTTGAGTGATATATCATTTTAAAGCCCTTATTTTAAAGTCGTTATTTAAAAGACATTGAAAAATTTTCGAAAAACCGGTTTGCAATTTTTGATTTTTCAAAAATAGCATTTGTTTGTTTTTGTTTTTCTTGTCATTTTTCTACAAAAATTGTTTTCCAATTTGCTATTACTGTCGATTATGCCTTAGGTCTAGTTTTTCGTTCAGATTCTCACATCACAAAGAAAAATCGATAATAATTTGAAAAAAAAATGTTCTATTTTTCAATACTGGTCGGAACATTCTGTGCTACTTGCAACGCAACCGGCTATTCTGTTTTTTTTTTTATTATTATTCAGTATGTTCGAAATTATTTTAAAAAAACTTGAAATTGTCGGAATTTTTTTGTCTGCTTATGTTTTGTCGGCTTAGTTGCCACATTATGGAATTTTCTTATGCGGTCAGCAGTTTTCGTCGTAGCTGCAGTATTTTTTGATGTACTCATCTGTCCATTCTTAAAAGCCTCATTCGTCCTAAATATTTTAGCAGCTGAAAGTTATGTATCACCTCTGTGTTTATTTTTTTGTTTTATTGGTTTAGTTACTATGATGTTTGTCGACTCAAAGGCTAAAATTGATTGATGAAAAAAAAGTTTGTCTTTTGTCTCAAAAATTCAATCTTTTTAAAACTTTATTGCTCAGAACTTCGCCAATAATTTCTTCTGGCATTTTTTTTGTTTTCGGCTCAATGAGCGGCTGTTTTTGGCTCAATGAATGCAATCTTGGTGACTGTTCGTTAAAATGAATGCTCAGTGGCTGCTCGTTAAAACATTAAAAACTTATTTAGTGCTGTTTATTGTGTTTCTTGGCTGTTTTCTGAATTTTTCCATTTTTTCCGAAATTTTATTATTGATTTAATTATTTTCGTCTCATTTTCTATTCGCCAGCTTGCAACGCGGTGCTTGCACTGTATCGCCTCTGTGTTTATTTTCTTACACATTGAATTAAAATGAAGAAGGCTCAACTTGAGAAATAAAACAAGGATAGTCGGTTACCGAATGTTCCACAGAAGTGATTATAAAATATGTGAATAAAAATATATAGTTTTTCTATTACTTCTAAAGTAGTGGTTAAACTTTGAAAATTAGGTTATTTTAGCGAAATGAATTTAAAGTTGTAGCATAGTTAGTGTGAATATGAACATAAGCCAATTTTTTTTTGAACGAGGATAACTGTTTCAGCTGCTACAAACAATAACTTTCAAAGTTTCAAAACCCTGTTCCTGGAAGTAGAAAGAAGTATCAAAGACGAGACTCCATTCCCAGAGATTCCTCTGCCACCCGAGCTGCAGAAGCAGACTCTATCTTCAGAGCAGAATGGTGATGATGCCATGGATCAGTCAGAGGTACGCCAGCAGTTGAAACAACTCCATCTTAACGAGGTTCAATCTCTACCCAAGTTTTGTTTTTGTCATAATGATTTTTCGTAGCTGATAGTCACAAATGGCGTGGTTTTCGTAGAAGTTGGAGTCATTTAGCATAGTTTTCAAATGGAATGTATAGACTAAATTAGCCAGCTGATTTATTCACCCAGATTCGTCTTATTCTTCTCGAATTTTAAATGTACTTTTCAGAGTTTGAAACGGAAATTATATGATGCTCAGACTAAAAAAATGTTCATACTAAAAAACGTCAATGCAAGGGAAAGGGGTAATTTATTCGCTTGTTAAATAGGCATTTCATGTGTTCATTCATTTGCTCATGGCTTGTTTTTCAGAACATAGCACCCAATGAGAAACGATCAGAAGTTAAACGCGATGATAGCAGTCACAAAATGATGGCTCTCATCGAAGCTATGCTAGTAAAAGTAACAGGTATGTTAACAACACAGTCTTATATACCTAATTTCCCGACCCATCTTGAAAACTCAAGTTCTTTTTGAATATTTTAGAAAATGAGAAACGCCTGAAAGAAATGCAGCAAACTCAAGACGAAATGCAGCAAACTCAAGACGAAAGATACACAAAGATCGAAAAGAATCAAAGTGAATTACTGCTCGGTAAAGAGACTTCGTTCTTTAAATCTGAAATGCATGTAGTCTGAGTCATACTATCGTAATTGCAAATCCAGTTCAAAAGAAAATAATATTTTTGCGTGAATGCCGTCTAAATCAGCAGCCGGTTTTCAGGTTCCTCTGATCCTCGATTAAAGGTTATCTTCTGTCTAAATATCGTGATTTTCCACCGACAATGAAAACAAATGCAGTCACAAAATTGTGTAAACCATTGCTCTTCTGAAGTGAATGAGTTTTCCTTTTTGTATTTTTGTAGGTATTGTGGTTTTTAAATGCAGTGAGCGCAGTAAAGACTGTTTTATCGGTCTTGTTGTTTTTTTGTTTGTTTTTTTAGGAAAAGTCTAAAATTTGTCTTTTTAAGCTCAGTGCATTTCCATTGTTAAAAGGAAGTCAAACTCCATTATCGAAAAGCAAAGGTCACGAAAAACACGATTGACTTCTGTTTTCGAACGTGGATTTTAATGTTAAGATTTCCCAGCGGAATTAAAAATTTACTTATTGACTTACCTTTTACCAGTTTTCGTCGTTTAAATTTAAATGGTACGTTTTTTGCTTCTTTGAGTTCATTGCCCATTTCATTGCTCTTTTCTGAGAAAATAAAGCCTAAGTTTTAAGTGTTTTGAACAATAAGATTTGAGTAGTGAACATTGCCACTGCGGAAAGACAAGACGATTTTCTTTACACAATTTTACGCATAGTCTTTCCGCAGTGGCAATGTTCACTACTCAAATCTTATTGTTCAGACCGTATGAAAAATGCGGAGGAACGTTGTATTCGGGTCTGTCTTCCAGGAAGTTTCTTTCTTTTCGTTTTCCACGCAAAATCAGGTACACACATAATCATTGGAATGGGTCGAGTGTTATATCATATTAAAGCCCTTTCATTCGTCATTGAGCGCTTTTTTGGGTCATAAAAATTTTCATACAAATTTACAAATTTTTACTGCAAAAAAATGGGTAATTTTTTTTCTTCATTTTTTCATTTATATTCTCAAAAGAAGACAATTGAAGTATTGCCTCATTCTAAGCCTCCGTATAGTTCTATAATCACATCGCGCAGAAGAAACGACGCTAATTTGAAGATTAAAAAAGTTTTTTTTCCAGGTCGGAACATTCTGTGCTACTTTACTTGCAAAGCAACCGGCTATCCTTGTTTTAATTATCATTTGATTTTTTGTTACAAGAAGTGGCGCCTCATGTCTTAAATATTCTGGAACTATGAATCATCTGATCGCTTAAGTAAGAATAAAGCAATTGTTTCTCTTTCTTCAAATTATACGTTCAACATTGTTCGCTAACTTTTTTGAATTATCTTCTGTTTCATATTTTTGTTGTTCCGACCTCTGAAACGGGAGGAGTTTCAGAATTTTTTAATATTATTTAAAAATTTTTCCACATTCAACAATAGTTATTGGAAGGGGTTGACGGATATACCATATTGAAGCCCTGTAAGTCGTGATTGGAACAACATAAAATTTTTTTAAAGTTGTCTGGGTGTCGAGAAAAACTATTGGGAATTTTAGTTCTTTTTCGAGCGAATTAAGTGAGCGAGCAGGGTTGTTTTAGTAGGCTTATAGTTCAATTTGATCAGTGAAAACAGAGCTTCAATCCAGTAAAAATTAGTTTTAGAAAATAGAGCCTTCTTGGGAATAAAACTTCGAGAAAAAAGTTTTCTGCAACAAATTTGACATAGTTTTCGTAAATATTTTTCAAACTATTATGCGATGAAATCTGTTATCAAACGTACCTAATTTACTTCTATTTGGCGAAGTTTTAGGCTTTCAATCATATCCTCTCGTCACACAGCGAGCACAAATCGAGGCAATCTGAAATTTTATTGTGTTAAGAACTTTCTGTGCTACTTGCACAGCAAACATCTGTCCTTGCTGGTTACCAAGTGTTCGTTTACCCAGTAAAGTTTGAAATTTTGCTAGTTTTTTTGATAGACGATTTTTTGGTTTTGATCATTCTGCACTCTCTAGGAATCGCTGTTCGAAATCTCTTCGAAAATTCATATTCACAAACGTAGCTCAAATTTTATCTCTTCATGTGGAAATTAATGCAAAAATATCTTTTACCTCTAAAGAAGATACAATTTTTCCATGAAAGGGAAAATGATTTTTTTTTGTTCAAAATTGGGAGAAATGTTGGTCTGGCTGTTTGAATTTGAAGTGGTTGTTTCATTTTTTTGCGTTTTGTTTTCATAAAAGATACCGCTGCTGATGAACTTAAAATACCTACAGATTTTTGCCAAGTGTAATGACAAACCTTGAATAGCGCTGTTTAATTTTGACATAGATTGAAGAAGCTTGAATCCTATTCATTATAGATTTATGACATTAGCGAGTCATTTGTTAGAGCGGTTCCTCAATTTTGAATTTTTTAGCGTGCTGACATAAAATTGGCAAATTCACTCTCAATAATGAATCAGCTTAGAAAATGAGGGACCCAAATTTTTTATTTTTCTCCGTGCAAACTTTATATTTCGTAGACAGGAGACAAGTGTTTGTCTTGTTGTATAGACAATTTCTTTAGTTGTTTTGGCGCTTCAGAAAGTCATTTTTTGTTTCAGAGAAGGAGACGCAGATGAGAAGCTTGAGAGAATTTCAGAAAGAGCAGCTTGATTTATTGGATACGAAATATGGGCAATTACTAACCAGTAAGGCATTATTAACGTTATGCTACCGAATGAGAACATAATTCGTCAACTTGATGCACCCATAAACGCAATTACAGGCGAATTTAAAATATCTTTTAAATTCAGGTTTGAATATAGATCTTTCTATGTTCAATGTCGTGATTCCCATTATTTATGTTGGTAAATTTTAATATTTTTTTCAGCTACTATTTTTTCTTAGAGTTAGATACGATCCAGTCAAAACTCTCCGAAAGCCATGAATGTGACTGTCTACCTGTTAAAAAACGACGTGGAGAGGATTTCCAACGACAAATTGAGACGACTGCTTGTTTGAAAACGACGGGAGTTACAACACTGGAACTGCTAAACACCGGAACAGGTGACAAATGTAGATCCGCCGTTTTGGAGCGAACTAAGCTGAACCAAATCGCGGGAGGGTCTGCGGCGGTAAGCGGAGCTGAGTTTATGCAAATACCGATGGATCAAACTGAGAACACTTTTCATCAGACTGTTAAACAAGTCAATCAACATGAAAGTGTCTGGGAAGATCCGGAGAATCCAGGCTCTAAAATGGCACCGAAAAACAAGACAGCTCTCACAAGTTTCAATGATGCATCCAGAAAGCAACGAGCTTTTGGTCCGAAGAAGGTTGAGATTATGACTAAGACGGAGTGCAATAACGATGACACCTCAACGCCAGATACCTCGCCGATGCTAGCTCCTAAGTTGCAACCCCCCAAGTTTACCTCCACGCCCTTCGAGAAAGGGCTGGATCAATGTAACAATGATATGCCTACCTTGAATGTGAGTGTGATACCTCGCGGCTACTCTCTCAGCGCAGGAGGCAGTGACCAGAATAGATGCTCGTTGTCCACTGTTGCGGAAGAGGAGAACGAACATGGCCATGTCATGAGGTGAGAGAACTTTTGTTCAAGTTTTCCCACATCACACTATTTACACTAACGAGCGACATGTGTTAGTAAGAACCTTCTTTTTTTCTAACCTAACCTCGCAGGTAAAAGTGTTGACTTATTTGGTGGCACTTTTGCTATGATCACGATTTGTAGCATTCGAATTTTCATAGTATCTGTTCTCTGCTTTATTTGTGGCTAGTGTTTGATTTATAAAGCGTCCGTGGCTAGTGCATGAGGCTCATAATATCTTGGTCGCAGATGGAATCCAGGACATAGCCGAATTTTTACTATTTCGAGGCTGATTTCAACTTATTGCACTTTATAGAGCTGCTTTTCGTCGTGTTCTCGCTAGTGGTTGCGAAGCTTCTGTGTGAAAATACAATTTCCTCGAAATTTTCAAATGATAGATCGTTATATTTGCAGTGAATTAAGGTAGTTATGAGTTACTTTTTGTCATCCAGTTCGACCATCTCTGCAACCTAAATGGTTTTAACCATCGAATGAAAAGCCGAAATATTAAACTTTCAGCTGATAAATCCTACCTATCCTCGTCACAAAGACGATGTAGTAAAACAAAACCAAATATCATCACGAATTAAAACGTTTTACCCACAATCCTAAGATAATATATTTTGATAATCTCTTCTCTTTTACACAACAAATTTGGTCTCCATCACTTTGTGATACCAGTTGCAATAATCTACAGACTCAACACAATACTGCACGAAGATTTGCAATTGGCGCACTAAAATGAGTCCAAATTTCATTCCCACTCATAAATTTATGTTGGGTTATATTTTTTTGTTATACTTAACGTTTCGGGTGAATTCGGCAATGATTTTTGACTATGCTATTTGTATCAGTTGCCCCATTTTTAGGAGCACGAATGGTAATATGCAGCAGCAGCAGCAGAACTGCCGTTCTTCTACTTCGTCTTCGCCTACTATTGAGTGTTTGCTGGGAAGTCTACAAGATCCCTTCTCGACTGAAGCCCTCGAATTCTACTTCCGTAAGCTCAATGTAAGTCATCTTTGAACATTTTACGACCCTTATGCGTTTATGAAGGGTTAAATTTAGAGGCGAATTTTTCTGTTATAAATGGCTGGTTTATTTTGTATGATAATGCACTTTTGGACTGGTATGGTTCTCAATTCCTATCATGTGTCATATCTCATAAGATTGACAACATTGTCGTCTCGGTTGAATATGAATGAGGAATGTGAGAATGAAAATGGATATTGAAAAAAGTGCATAGATTGAACTGTTTTTGACATTTTCTCCAATTTTTTGAGTTTTATGGAAGTTCGGTGAAAAATAAAAACAAATAGTGTGATAAGCTTTGTGAGCAAAAATAGTTGTCATATTTTTTATGTTTTTGCTTTTACAGGTAATTTTTTTAAAATTGATCGCGATCAAATAAGATGTTTCGCTGTTTTACTTTTTGAATTTTGAATAAGTTCAGTTTAAATTCTTCTGCTAAAAGAATGGGAATTCCCGTTGGCCCAGTTTTCTTTAATTAGATTAATATTTTTTATTCCACGAGTTATAACATGATGCACTTTTTCTTCGAAATTGGAAAGTTATAAATTATCCAATACTTTTTCGGTTTCCTAAATTTCATTGAGTCATTTTTCCCCATTGCCTGTTATCTATTTTTAGTTATAAGTGTCGTTGTTTTGTGCAGTTAATTTACGTCCACAGAAAGCAAGTCAACTTCTTTTCCGGTATGTATGCTTGTTAATGTTGATTTTTCTTTCTTACAGTTTCCTGCTTCGGGCGAGGGAATCCGAAAGGTGCGAGTGTTCAACAAATACATGCCACAATGGGTTCCAGGCAAGGAGACCAACTGCGGCCTCAACTGCTCCTTCATGGCTGGACATTTCATAGACAGTGGCAAGTTTGGGAAGGTGTTCAAACTGGAGGACGCTAAGGGCGCCTATGCGGCCAAGATGCAGTCTCCCCCTTTTCCCTGGGAGATCTGCATTATGCAACTGCTGAGGGATAGACTGAATGATTTGAACCTGGTTTTCGATTTGAGTGAGTTGCATTTTTCCTAGCGGAAAAGCGATCATTTCATGTGAAAGTTTCAATTGATAAATGTACTTGGAGTTCTTTCTTTGCACTGAAATTTCTCACATTTTTTTACCGCTGCACAAGCTTTGAAATTATTATTTTTTTCACTTAGGAGAGCAAGCGACCTCTTATCGGGAATTAGGCTTTTTTTCCCGTTAGCAGTTTTTCGTACACTTTTTAGTTCATATGGGGTAGTAATTAGTTTTTTCAAATAAAGTTATTGAAAAAATGTCAATTTTTTCGGATTTCTGGTTTTCGTCTTAATTTTTGTCGGCTGATTTTCCGTTTTTTCTTCAAATGCAATTTGTTTATCTGGCAAGCTTTTCAAGTGGTTCTTTTTCAAAGTTGAGTTTTTTGTTTTCAAAGTTGAGGTTTTTGTAGCTTTTCAAGTGGTTCTTTTTCAAAGTTGAGGTGTTCTGTACTTAGTAAATTTACCAACTGATTTTTAATTTTGTTTTTTCAGTTAAACTGGTCGGGCGTATAATATATCTGCTGAGGTAACTTGTGCTACACAGCTCCAAGGGCGAATTGTTTTGAATGCTTTTGCCTGGTTCAGGTGGGATGGATCATGAAAGTTGTATAGCTAGAATATTTATTACGTGTAGTTTCGTTTTCGACTGAACGAGGATCGACCCCTTTCTTGCCTTAGTTGCCGCTTGATCCTTGATTTTCAATTCTTGCGAAGGCGATTTATGATCATCGGTCGAGACAAAGGTATGAACTTTTAACAGATAGTGTTTTTTTTGGATTTTTTTAAAGTTATTTTTCAGCTTTATTCGACAAGACTTTTTTATTCGACAAAAAAGACTTTTTTTCAATATTTTGTGATACAATGCTTTAATTATATCTTGAGTGTAGCGTTATGATTGCAGAAGCATCGATACAAACATATTTTGCTTTATAGAAACTCCAAATTACCTCTAGTGATTAATTGTGTAATTCTAGCAGCAAGAAATACTTTGAGCTTGTCAATATTTTAGATTCCCTAACACAAGCAAACTAAGGAGCATGCTAACCAAACCCGCAGATAAAAGTGTGCCGTTGATGTCACTTTTGCTGTATAGCTTTGAAAGTTAAATAGCATCTGTTCTATCTGCTTTATTGGTTGGTAGTGTTTGCATAATGTCTGCGAGAAACGTGAAACTCGTAGTCTCAAGGTTGCGTGTTTGGTTCCAGAACGTAGCAAAATGTTATTTTTCAGGTCTTGTTTTTACTTTTTCTTGCCTTATTTGTTTTTTAGACCCTTTTTCACGCTAATTTTATACAGTTTTCTTGCTGGTGTTGTAAAGTCCACTTTCGACTCTGTGTCGAAATTTGATTTCATAATGCTTAATCAACTTATTTTTTTTAAATTACGCTCATTATCTATTTGCTTAAACGGTTTCAGCTAATCTTACTTCTGCTTAGTTCCATCATATTGTCTCGTTTGAAGTTCGATTTCAGAATTATTTTGTAGCTGATTTTTTTAAATACTTATTAGGTTGCATGAGATACTTTCAAGCAATGATGCGATTTTGTTTTCCCTAATCGGCTTAAGTGTTTAATCAACTTCAAATAAGTTTTATCGAATATCTGTGTAATTCTAATCGAATAACAGTGTAATTATACTGTTACACTTGAGATTAGCGAGAGTTATCAGATCAAAATATAGCTTTTTTGTGGGCGATTTACATGTTGAACAAAATCACTGAATCACTTCGGCCAACAGTTGATTTATCTGTTGGCAGATATGGCCGACCGTTTTTTAATGAGCATGTCTTCATTCTAGATTGCCTATCCCGTAAAAATTAGTGTTTATGAATGTTGTAAACTAACTCTGATAAAGTAATTCTGAAAGGTTTCGCCTAATCGTATATTGGTTTTATCGCCTCATTTGAAGGGCAATAGCAGTTTTTGGTTTGTGGCTATTTCTTGATTTTTTGCGAGTTCTGCATTGGCAATTTTCGAGCGCTTGTCTAATAAATTGTTATAAGAATGAAATTTTTGGTAGATCTATTTTCTCAACTTTTTGTTTTTCAAACGGTACTTTCTACTTGGTAGTTGTTTTTTTTTTCTAGTTTTTCGATCGCATATCTTGCTACGCTGTGATTAAGATATATCGAAAGCGGTGCAAAGTTCCGTTTCGGCTCTGCGTGGTAAATTTGAATATTTTGGATAGGTATGTGGCAATAATATCTTAGGAAAAACCAAACAAACGTAGGAACTGGGTTTCTAAGTGTCAAAGAACTTTGTGAAGACACTTATGTAGATCGTGGTCATTTTTCTTGGTTTTTTCAGGAAATTTTCGGAAAATTTGATCACGCTCAAGTTTGATTTTTCGTGGTTTGACTTGTTGTTTTAAAAGTGATTTTAGTGTCCAGTTTTCCCAGCGGAAAAACGTTTTACCTAGTAATCCAGTTTTTTCAATTGAGTTGTTTTTATCTCAAAAAACATCAACCATAACACTGTACTTAGTAAATTTACCAACTGATTTTTAATTTTGTTTTTTCAGTTAGACTGGTCGGGCGTATAATATATCTGCTGAGGTAACTTGTGCTACACAGCTCCAAGGGCGAATTGTTTTGAATGCTTTTGCCTGGTTCAGGTGGGATGGATCATGAAAGTTGTATAGCTAGAATATTTATTACGTGTAGTTTCGTTTTCGACTGAACGAGGATCGACCCCTTTCTTGCCTTAGTTGCCGCTTGATCCTTGATTTTCAATTCTTGCGAAGGCGATTTATGATCATCGGTCGAGACAAAGGTATGAACTTTTAACAGATAGTGTTTTTTTTTGGATTTTTTTAAAGTTATTTTTCAGCTTTATTCGACAAGACTTTTTTATTCGACAAAAAAGACTTTTTTTCAATATTTTGTGATACAATGCTTTAATTATATCTTGAGTGTAGCGTTATGATTGCAGAAGCATCGATACAAACATATTTTGCTTTATAGAAACTCCAAATTACCTCTAGTGATTAATTGTGTAATTCTAGCAGCAAGAAATACTTTGAGCTTGTCAATATTTTAGATTCCCTAACACAAGCAAACTAAGGAGCATGCTAACCAAACCCGCAGATAAAAGTGTGCCGTTGATGTCACTTTTGCTGTATAGCTTTGAAAGTTAAATAGCATCTGTTCTATCTGCTTTATTGGTTGGTAGTGTTTGCATAATGTCTGCGAGAAACGTGAAACTCGTAGTCTCAAGGTTGCGTGTTTGGTTCCAGAACGTAGCAAAATGTTATTTTTCAGGTCTTGTTTTTACTTTTTCTTGCCTTATTTGTTTTTTAGACCCTTTTTCACGCTAATTTTATACAGTTTTCTTGCTGGTGTTGTAAAGTCCACTTTCGACTCTGTGTCGAAATTTGATTTCATAATGCTTAATCAACTTATTTTTTTTAAATTACGCTCATTATCTATTTGCTTAAACGGTTTCAGCTAATCTTACTTCTGCTTAGTTCCATCATATTGTCTCGTTTGAAGTTCGATTTCAGAATTATTTTGTAGCTGATTTTTTTAAATACTTATTAGGTTGCATGAGATACTTTCAAGCAATGATGCGATTTTGTTTTCCCTAATCGGCTTAAGTGTTTAATCAACTTCAAATAAGTTTTATCGAATATCTGTGTAATTCTAATCGAATAACAGTGTAATTATACTGTTACACTTGAGATTAGCGAGAGTTATCAGATCAAAATATAGCTTTTTTGTGGGCGATTTACATGTTGAACAAAATCACTGAATCACTTCGGCCAACAGTTGATTTATCTGTTGGCAGATATGGCCGACCGTTTTTTAATGAGCATGTCTTCATTCTAGATTGCCTATCCCGTAAAAATTAGTGTTTATGAATGTTGTAAACTAACTCTGATAAAGTAATTCTGAAAGGTTTCGCCTAATCGTATATTGGTTTTATCGCCTCATTTGAATGGCAATAGCAGTTTTTGGTTTGTGGCTATTTCTTGATTTTTTGCGAGTTCTGCATTGGCAATTTTCGAGCGCTTGTCTAATAAATTGTTATAAGAATGAAATTTTTGGTAGATCTATTTTCTCAACTTTTTGTTTTTCAAACGGTACTTTCTACTTGGTAGTTGTTTTTTTTTCTAGTTTTTCGATCGCATATCTTGCTACGCTGTGATTAAGATATATCGAAAGCGGTGCAAAGTTCCGTTTCGGCTCTGCGTGGTAAATTTGAATATTTTGGATAGGTATGTGGCAATAATATCTTAGGAAAAACCAAACAAACGTAGGAACTGGGTTTCTAAGTGTCAAAGAACTTTGTGAAGACACTTATGTAGATCGTGGTGATTTTTCTTGGTTTTTTCAGGAAATTTTCGGAAAATTTGATCACGCTCAAGTTTGATTTTTCGTGGTTTGACTTGTTGTTTTAAAAGTGATTTTAGTGTCCAGTTTTCCCAGCGGAAAAACGTTTTACCTAGTAATCCAGTTTTTTCAATTGAGTTGTTTTTATCTCAAAAAACATCAATCATAACAGGGCAGATCTCGTTTTTTCTCGAAGGGGATTTTCAAAAAAGTTTTGAAATTTTGTCGACATTTTTTTAGGTCGAACAATTTGGTTTTCCGAGCACTCGCAGAAACCTATTAAGACCCTTTCTTATCAAATTTTCTGTGCCGCGGGCGAATTTTTGATAAAACTGGACAATAAAGGAATTATAATCACTTTTTAGAAAATGTTGACCAAACATTTTTTGGCTAGCGCTCCTCTTCAAAGTGAGTATATATTGGGGCCGGAAGCGCCTTTAGAAACATTTTTAAGTCGGGCGGCCGAAAACAAACGTCGCAAAAAAAACCAAAGGGAAGACCCTTTGGTTGTTGAGTGGGTAGAATCTCTGATCATAAACCGTTCTTGAGATTCGAAGAGCTAAAAGGGCACACTTTTTCTTTGAAATTCAAGTGTTCCAAAAAAGAAGAATTTTTTTTTGTTCTTTGCGTTCATTGACACTTCTCTAACTGTCTGTTTGCTATGTTCATTTTAGAAATTAACATACAAGAGCCTAGGTCGTTCTATAGTTTCAAAGATGGAGGGATCCTCGTGTCCAAGCTATACAATGAACCCACAATGCTGTCTTTCCAGAACAATCTAAGCAAGAAAAAATTGGTCCTTACAGAGGTCGAATTGATCATTCTACTAGTTGAACTGATATTGATAATGGAGAACATGCACAAGGTCGATATCATCCACGGAGACTTGAAGCCAGATAACATCATGATGAGGGTGCCAAACAGTCTGCCGCAAAATAGAAAAGAGTTCTTTACCAGTGAGTTACAAATGCACTGCTGCAGATATAAAAATCGATTACGATCCTTAGTTTTCATAGTTTATCAAAAATTTTATTTGAAATAATTACAATACTGGAGGTCCGTTTTGTCGACAGATTTTCACACTGTCTCAAATCAAACTCTGTTATAATCAAAAGTGGGTTTGATTTGAAATAGTTCGTAAGTAATCTGATGCTAATGTGAGGCAGTAATTGGCGTTCAATCGCTCATTACTCGAGCGGCAAGCAACGTTAAATTATTAAAACGCTTTTTATGAAATCTAAATGTCGCAAAGCGGAGCTCAAGCTCAATAATATATGCAGTAGGAGTTTTGATTCCGCGTATGTGTAGGTAGGTGTAAGCGTACTGTTTTGAGCTCATGATTAAGATCAAAATAAACTATTTGATTATTTGAATCTCATTCTCAAAAGGGGAAGACACTGATCAGGAGGTTGGGGTTTGTCTGACCTTTTTTTAAATAGGTTTTTTTTTAAAGAAACTTTTCCCATTTTTCGCTGTATTTTTTTTCTAATGTATGCACAGCACAGTTTCGCCTCCGAGTATAAAATGACGGCAAGCATGTATGTGGTGTCAAATTACATACTTTGTTTAGAAGAGTTATGCTTCATGATATTAATTGACTTTGGCAAGGGAATTGACATGAGCATGTTTCCCAAAAACCACAAATTCACTTCTGAAGAAGCCGCTTCCAACTTTAAATGCGTGCAGATGATAGAGAAGAAACCATGGTCGTACGAACTAGACATTTTTTGCATAGCCGCAACAGTACATGTACTTATGTTTGGAAAATACATGACTAACTTGACAAAAGATAGATTTACTGGACTGTACAAGTTGTACGAGACGCCCAAAAGAAGTTTCAACCGAGAGTTATGGAACAGTTTTTATCAGACTATGATTAACTCTGCGTACAAGACGGCAATGTTGCCGACTATGCGCGATATGTTTATGGATTACCTTTACAAACAGTATGATGATAATGAGATCAGAGATGGGTTCTACAATTTGAACAAACTCATTTGTGAGATGAATTGAAAATTGACTTGTTGAAAATGGAGTTGATTTTAGTGTTGATTGCGTTTTTTGAGTTATTTGTTATTTCAAATTGTTGTGAAAAAATCATTTTTATTGTCTCTTTTGACTCATTTGCTAGATTAAAAGTGTAAGTAAATGATAGTAACTGATAAATTCTTGTATTAGAGACTTTTTTACAGATCAGTCAACCCCCCTCCCCCACCGTAGCTAAGCATCAATTTCAAGGTCAGACATGAGGATCAAATATGTTTGGATGAGCTACTAAGCCAGTATGCCGAATTTCATTGTAATCGTACATGTATTGAAAGTCAAAAAATTTTAATGCAAATTAGAGAAAAAAAGTTGTTGATCGCATTTCGGTTTTAGATTTTTTGCATTAATTTCATTTGGTTAAAGAAAGTTCAAAGTACATTTTCCAATTATCAAAGTGGTAAAAACGTCCATACATTTTCATTTCAATTTTTCATTTTTGCTTTTTATCTAGGAAGGGGAGTCTAGGAAGGGGAGTTAGAAAAAAGCGAACAACTGGATTACCAGCTCTTAAGAACTGGGCCCACTTGCTCGCTAATTAAATTAACAGTCATTATTTCGCATCCGCCCGCTGTCAGTTGTATACCCTTGTAAGTATAAGCTTGCATCATATCTCTGGTTCTCATGTTAAAGAATAAAGCTCTTGATTTAAAAAAAAAGAGTGATTGCACTATTTAAGTCTCGTTTTTTTTTTTCGCTTTAAATTTGCCTCTTTGACCTAAATTAATTATTGAACCTTTTGATCTGATGTCATATGATGTGATTCCTTTACGGGGCAACCTTCAACAAGCCTCTCGTTGGCTTTCTGGTTGTCCTATCATGAGTTATTTTTGAATTTTTGCTTATTGTGTTATGATAATTTGATTACTCATGATGAATATTTAAATAAATAAATAAATAAATAAATATCGCGGTCAATTTTTCGTGTGAAATGGGGATATTTTTTTTTTATCATGCAAGGGTCAATGATAGAAGATTTTCAAAACTCATAGCTTTGAGGCAATTTTAATTTTCATACATCAATTCATCACATCAAAAGTTCTACTGAAAACGTTGGGTTATTACCCTTGCGACAAGCAGTGATATTCCAATCGGGTACTAAACTTTTTTCCCGTGATTAACTTTAGGCACAGAATGATCAAATGTGTAGGAGGAATGGTAAATTTCAGAAAAGCTTTTTTCCTTGAAAGTTGAAATAAAACTATCTTATTTTAGGTAGTAATCAGGTGTAGTCCGTTTCCGGTGTCAGTTTTTTTCAAATATTTTTTTCTTGAAAAATTTGAAAAACAATGTGATTTTTTTTCGGATTCGTGGCTTTCGGCTGAGGTTCCCTCGGTTCATTTCCTGTTTTTTTAATGAAAATTGTTTTTATTGGGTACTGTTTTTATTCCAGTTTTTTTGTTTAGCATGGATTTTTTCTTTCATTTTGAATTTATTTGCTTTTGTTCAAAGTTTGTAATTTATCATTTTACCAAGTCTGGTTTTTAATAATTTTTTTTTGTGTATAGATTTTTTATTAAATGGTTTCGGCTTACTTTTTATGGCATAATGAAGTTATATTGCGGTGTTTTGTTAGCACATGTTGTGTTCGACAAAATTAGATATTATTACGTTAGCGAGGGCAAGTGCCGGGCCTTGTTTTTTTTCCGGTATATATGCAATTGCAAAAAAAAGTTCTGTAAAAAATTGAATTGTTTGACTTCCATTATTCTGTTAAATTTTGTCTTTTTAGTTGACACAGCTCACATCTTGTTTGTCCTGTAAGCAACTTTCATTGCAAGTGTTCTCTGTAGGTTCAGGGAGGTGGACGTTAAGCTTTTTAATTTTCTTATGTCAATTTTTTTTTGGCTCAACAGGTGTCTGCTCAAAGGGTGTCGGGTTAGTGGCCACATCCTTAATTTTTCTTTTCTTGTGTAGCAGGCAACTTCACCTTGTATTTGAAAGTGCAAGTGTTGTTCATTGTAGTCTCAGGTGGGACTTAAAACTGTCAAGATTTTTCATGAAACCTTTTTGTTCTACTCATCTTGTGTCTGCTCAAAGATTGTCGGCTTTGTTTACTCTTCTTAAATTTTTTTCCGTTGCTATTATAATACTCATTTTTCCAGCATGCAAGTCTAGAATAAGCATCTATTGAGACATGAAAATTTAATTTTTGGTAGGCCTAGATTTTTTAACGTTTTTCATTCTTTCGCCTGCTTATTTTTATAAGGTTTGGCACAAGATAGTTTATAAACTACGGATACAAAATTCAGGCATTAAACATAACGAATTAGTGAAATTGCACATTATGGGTGATGAGATTGATCAAAAAGTTGAGAGTAAAGTTGATTGTTTTATCCAGTGGAGTTTGATGGATTTCAATATAAGACTTGGTTAATTTGTTTCGCCAATACAATTGCTGACGCCCGATGGATAGATGTAAATTCTTTCTTTTAAAAGAAAACTGATAGCTAGATTTTAAGAGTTTGGCCATCAGAAAATTGATTGTGTTAAATAATCCGAGAGATTATCTAATTCACTGAGAAGAGAGAAAGAAGATTTATAAGAAATTGTAAACAACTAAAAGTTGAAACTTATGGAATGTTTTTTGAGAACAAAGTCTAATTTTGATTTTTTGAAGTTCACGTCAATTTTATTTTGCTCATTTTTTAGTTTTCGCGACTTGATTGTTGGTTTTTTTAAGTTCATTTGCTCCACAATGGATGGAAATTAACTTCTCCAATAACAAAAATGGTGCCGAAAAGGGTGATTTCACTAGCCATCAGCGAGGTTTATAATTACGAACCTTCTTTTTTTTCTAAGCTCACTGAGAAAAGAGAAAGAAGATTTAAAAGTAATTGTAATCAACTAAAAGTTGAAACTCATGGAATTTTTTTTGAGAACAAAGTCTAATTTTGATTTTTTGAAGTTCGCGTCAATTTTATTGCGCTCATTTTTTAGTTTTCGCGACTTGATTGTTGGTTTTTTCAAGTTCATTTGCTCCAAAATGGATGCAAATTAACTTCTCCAATAACAAAAATGGTGCCGAAAAGGGTGATTTCACTAGCCATCAGCGAGGTTTATTATTACGAACCTTATTTTTTTCTAAGCTAACTTTCAAGTAAAGTTTTTCTTAAGCATTGGAAATTGCGAAGCATCTGTTCTGTGCTTTTTAGTGGCTATTGCTTGGAACCTAATAAGCTCAGTGGCTGAGTGGTTATTGCGTGAGACTCTAAATTTCTAGGTAGCAGGTTCAAATTTTAGACACAGCCAAATATTTTGCTACTTCGAGGCCTATTTATACTTTTTTATTGCACTTTTCAGAGCTGCTTGTTGCCGTGTTCTAGCCAGTGTTTGCAAAAGAAGATATTTTTTGTCGTGTTGTCGCCAGTGTTTTTAGAGCTGCTTTTTGTTGTGTTCTCGCTGGTTTTTGCAAAACGACGATTTACCTCTAAGCGTGCGTGGTTAGTGTGTGGACGCATAATCTTTAGCTCGCATGTTCGAACCCGAGACGGAGCCGAATTTTGGTTAATTCGAGACAAATTTATAATTTTTCTCATTGCAACTTATAGAGCTGCTTTTGTCGTGTTCTCGCTAGTTTACAACGGACCCTAAAGGTGTTCTATTTTGAGATATCCATTTTCGTCCTTCGGCGACAATATATACTCATTTTAAGAGTGGAGCGCGCGCTGAAAAAACGCAATAAATTTTGGTCAAATAAAAAACGCGGCCCAGGAAATTTGACCAAAACAGGTCTTTTTTAGTGCTTTGGGAGAGCGCGGAAAAAGTTCGACAAAATTTTCCAAAATTTTACATCCTCCCTCCCCTCCCCCTCGCCCCTGGAGAAAATCCTAGATCTAGATACGCCCCTGGATTTCATAACAATTTTTGTCGGCTTTTTTCCTGGGTGTCTTGTAATAAAAATGATTCGAATAATTTCTTAAATTTCGTTTTGTGCAGTATTAATGCATTATTTGATGTTTTATTTTTCCTCGTTTATGAAAGAAATCTACATAGAATGGATACTTCTATTATAATAGAACTAAAAAAAAGATAGGTTGACTTAATTTTTTTGTAAAGTTTTTAAAAGGGGTCGGGCAAACTCCTCATTCGCCTGAGATCAAATATATACTTTTTTCAGTTTTTTGGTTTATAATTTTGTATCGCAAGGGGTACATGGCTCGGCTCTCAGGCAATTTGGGTAAAAACAATTCAGCCAAAAAAAACCAGACAATTCAGTCACGCAGACAATTCAGCCAGTTTTCCAAAACGCTGGAGCTAAACATTTGCAACTAAAACTCAACCTGATAAGTGTGATGTGACGCATCAAAGTGAGAATTTATTACAGTAATTTTTTTTAGCTTAGAAAGGAAATTTGGTTTAGCAGTTCGCCTTAGCATTCAGATTCAAAAGACAGGCTTCGGGTTGCATAATCGTGCAAACAAACAGCACGTTGTTAAGCGTGCATTGTTATTGGTTGTAAAGCTGCTCTATACATTGGAATTGTCCGTTACCGGCTGCAGCATTCAATCTCTTGCACTGAAGTAAATTAACAATTTTTGATTTGACTTTCTCGAAAGCTATGGTATGTTCCTCTGACCAAGTAAAGATCAATTTCTTCTTTATAAGTGGTCTCAAAGGGCTTCCCAAGGATGCCAGGTTTGGTACGAATTTCATAAATTGATTGGCTAATCCGAAAAATGAGCGTAACCCGAGAGCTTGGGATAGATTTTATTGTTAAGGTTTTTTCTTTCATAGGGATTGCTCCTGTTTTTGATATTTTGAAAACTAGCCATTAGATTTCCTTTTTAAAAAATTTGCATTTCGGCCATTTTACTGCAAATTTATTATTGTTGAGGGTAGTTTAAATCTTGTCAGCGATTTCTTTATGTTCGTTAAAGCTTCCTTTGGAAGAGACTAATATGTCGTCAAGGTAGAAGTTAGTAAAAGGGATACGTCCCATGGTTGAGTCCATTACTCTTTGAAATTCATTTGGCATATCGCCAATTCCGTAAAATCCCGTTAAAAACTGATATGGACAAGTGGCATTTCCTCCAACGAGGCTGAAATTACCCTGTTTGCCCGTG